AAGGCGAACTTCACAGGTTGAGGCTCCAAACTGATGGTGTATTCTTGTTACAATTGGTGGTTGCAAACGTTGTTGTAATGGAGAGGGAGGTTCCTCCTAAAATTAGTCGTATTCTTGATCATTTTAGGGATGTGTTCGGTGACCCTAAGTGACTCCCCCCTACATGCACTCAAGACCATCGTATTCCACTGATTCTAAGTAGTGTTTCAACCAATGCGTGACCGTACCGTTATCCTTATTTTCAAAAGGATGAGATCGAGAGATTGGTTAAGGAAATGTTGGCTATTGGCTTGATTTGACCGAGTGTTAGTCCTTATTCATCTCCAGTGCTACTAGTGTGGAAAAAAGATGGTTCTTGGCGGTTGTGCGTGGACTATCGCTCCCTTAATAGTATTACAGTGAAGGATCACTTTCCCATTCTAGTTATTGATGAGGTTCTAGATGAGTTGCATGGTGCCATGATTTTTTCTAAGTTGGATCTTTGCTCTNCAAAGTCTTACCTCTTTCTCTTAAGCAAACTAAATCATTCTGCCAAGCTTATCAAACGCCATCTCTCTCCACCTAATGCAAATCAAAATCATGCACCACCATTGCTTGCGACTACTGATAATCAAAACAAACCATAACTACAATGTAACTATTGTCGCCCATCAAGCTTCGCCCATCTCCATCTTTTTATGGTGCAATTTCAAGAAGCTAATAATTTTTATTGTTTGANATGTTGCCTTGCGTGATCGTGATAGTATACTGCAACTACTCAAAGAAAATTTAACTGCTGCCCAATTTCGCATGAAATAGTTTGCTGACCGTCATCGAACCGAATGCTCTTTTAGTGTGGGAGATTGAGTTTTTCTCTAACTTCAGCCATATCAACAAATTTCCTTGGGCCCCCGCGGGCCACATAAGCTCTCACCATGATTTTATAGGCCTTTTCGTGTTCTTTCACGTATTGGAGAAGTCGCTTACAAACTGGATTTGCCTATAGAGTGTCGTATCCGTCCAGTCTTTCACGTTTCTTGCCTCAAAAAAAAAACTTGGAGAAATGGTGCAACCTGCTCCACAGTTCCCTCCCATTTTTGATAGTGGCGTTACTACTTGGCAGCCACTTCACATTCTGAATCGTGGTTTGTTTAGGTACAACAACAGGTCAGTTACACTCCTTGTCCAATGGATTGGATTTTCTGCTACCGATGCAAANAACAGTCCAAGTGTTCTTTTTCCAAGTCATCTATGGACTATCTTGGCCATATTATTTTTAGAGAAGGGGTTATGGTGGATCCCGAGAACATTCACTGCATGATTGAGTGGCCAAAACCCAATACTCTTAAGGCTCTACGATATTTTTTAGGGCTCACTGGCTATTATAGATAATTTGTGCAAAATTATGGTCAAATTGTAGCCCCTTTAACTCACATTCTCCAAAAAGATTCTTTTGGATGGTTCTCAGATGCAAAAATTGCTTTTGAGAAATTAAAGCATGCTATGACAACCACACCAGTGTTGGCATTGCCCGATTTCTCTCAAGAATTTGTTCTAGAATGCGATGCTTTCGGGTAGTGGAATTGGTGCCATTCTTATGCAGCAAGGGCGACACTTAGCTTTGTCAGTAAAGCTCTTTCTGGGAAAAAATTTAAATCTCTCGGTCTATGATAAAGAAATGCTTGCCATAGTCTTTGTGGTGAACAAATGGCGACCATATTTATTAGGTCGCCACTTCACAATTCTTATTGATTATAAAAAAGTTTGAATTTTTCTATGGATCAACGTGTTTCCTCACTTGAGCAACAATAGTGGGTTACCAAGCTGTTGGGATGCGATTATACGATAGTGTTTCAAAAGGGTGTAGAAAATTGGGCTGCAAATGCTTTATCCAGGTAAGTTGAAGAATCTAGCTTACATGCTATTTCTTCCTTTATATTTTTGTCCATTAGTGAGATCACTGCTAAATGCTTGACTGATCTTTCCTTGTCCCCTATTCTTTCTCGATTACGACAAGGTGTGTCTACAGATTCAAGTTATTCTCTTCGTGATGTTGTTTTACGTTATAAAGATCGAGTGGTGGTTCCCTCTTTTTCTCCTTAGTGTTCCAAAATTTTGTGGGAATTCCATGCTTCCCAAATTGGTAGTCATTCCGGGTTCTTACGGACTTATAAGCGCATCCAACGCAATTTTTATTGGAAAGGTCTCAAAAAGGCTGTTAAGAAGTTTGTTGTCGAGTGCGATGTTTCCCAACGGAATAAATCTAATAGTATCTCTCCACCTGGGTTGCTACAACCTCTACCAATTCCGGAGGAAGTGTGGACTGATATTTCTATGGATTTCATTGATGAGTTACCCCANCGGCCACTTCATGTTGGGTAGAGTGTCGGGGTCAGACACATTTAGGACACGGACACGCTTCGGACACGTTAAAATGAGTATCCGATTTTTTTATGGTTAAATTTTTTTTAGGACAGAGACATGTGGCCGACACGTTGGGATATGCTGGGGGACACGTTTTGGGATTTATTTTCAATTTGTTGAGAACNCCACTTCTATGCACTTGTGCATCCTTACTCAACAACTACAGTGGCTAAAATTTTTGTTCGGAAAATTGCACATTTACGTGGGATACCTAAATCTGTTGTTAGTGATCGAGACCCTATTTTCATGAGTCAGTTTTGGGAAGCATTTTTTGAATTGGATGGGATTGGTCTTTGTCAAAGTTCGGCTTACCATCCNGATACCTAAATCTATTGTTAGTGATCGAGACCCTATTTTCATGAGTCAGTTTTGGGAAGCATTTTTTGAATTGGATGGGATTGGTCTTTGTCAAAGTTCGGCTTACCATCCCTAATCAGACATGTAAACTAAAGTGGTTAACCGGTCCCTTGAGGCTTATTTGCGTTGCTTTGCAAGCCAACAACCTTCCAGTTGGACAAAGTGGTTACCATGGGCTGAATGGTGATATAACACCTCCTTTCAATCTTCAATGAAAATGACGCCTTTTCAAACAGTTTATGGTCGGCCTCTATTGCTCATTACTTCATACATTCCCCATACTACTGTTGTTCATTGTGTAGATGTTGCCTTGCGTGATCGTGATAGTATACTGCAACTACTCAAAGAAAATTTAACTGTTGCCCAATTTCGCATGAAATAGTTTGCTGACCGTCATCGAACCGAACGCTCTTTTAGTGTGGGAGATTGGGTTTTTCTCTAACTTCAGCCATATCAACAAATTTCCTTGGGCCCCCGCGGGCCACATAAGCTATCACCATGATTTTATAGGCCTTTTCGTGTTCTTTCACGTATTGGAGAAGTCGCTTACAAACTGGATTTGCCTATAGAGTGTCGTATCCGTCCAGTCTTTCACGTTTCTTGCCTAAAAAAAAAAACTTGGAGAAATGGTGCAACCTGCTCCACAGTTCCCTCCCATTTCTGATAGTGGCGTTACTACTTGGCAGCCACTTCACATTCTGAATTGTGGTTTGTTTAGGTACAACAACAGGTCAGTTACACTCCTTGTCCAATGGATTGGATTTTCTGCTACCGATGCAACNCGGCCACTTCATGTTGGGTAGAGTGTCGGGGTCAGACACATTTAGGACACGGACACGTTAAAATGAATATCCGATTTTTTTATGGTTAAATTTTTTTTATGACAGAGACATGTGGCCGACACGTTTTGGGATTTATTTTCAATTTGTTGAGAATTTTTCAGATAATTTTATAATTAAGAGTTATTTTTATAATTTTAAAGAGAAATGAGTCACAATCAGAATATAAAAAAAGTTATAATCATTACATTGAACATAGAATATGAATTTAACATAATTTTGGATACGAATACAAATCTATATACAAATAGAATATTCTCTTAATAAGAAAGTAATGTGAGAAAAAATGAGATGACAAAATTGGGGCTTTTAGAATTTGATGAAAATTAGTATTACGAAATGAAATATTTTTGAAAGTAAAAATTGTAGAAGTCATTGATTATTGAATCATAGATGTTAATGTTGGATGTGTATCAGTATATTTTATATTGTACTTTTTATGTAGTGATATCACAATGTGAATTTTTAGAATTATGTATGATAAAAAAAAATTAGAATTAGAAAAATGATGAATTAAAAGATTATTATGATAATATTTTTATTTTATCACATGATTTTATATAAATATATATATAAAATACATATTATTTAACGTATCGTTAACGTGTCCGTATCTTATTTTTTTGAAAAATTTCATGTCGGCATGTCTGTGTCGTATCGTATCCGTGNGAGTGAAACAATTTCTCACAAGATCATTGGATCCTATCAGCTTTATAATCAATCTGCCAGAGAGGGGTGGATAGTTGTCAACGAGGGCATGCTGCTTGGCCTTCTTGGAAAAGGTCAGGACTCAGGCGAGGTGCTTGTAATTTCTGAAACTATACTGAGACCCCCTCCAGAGAATTTCCTAACAGAAAGGGTGTTTATTTCTCACATTTTGTCTAAAAAGGCAAGCCCAAACTTGTTTTCATACAAATCCAAAGTCTTACCTCTTTCTCTTAAGCAAACTAAATCATTCTGCCAAGCTTATCAAACACCATCTCTCTCCACCCAATGCAAATCAAAATCATGCACCACCATTGCTTGCGACTACTGATAAATCAAAACAAACCATAACTACAATGTAACTATTGTCGCCCACCAAGCATCGCCCATCTCCATCTTTTTATGGTGCAATTTCAAGAAGCTAATAATTTATATTGTTTGTATTTTCATTCAAAAACCTACGTCTCGGTTGCCTTAGTACCATTTTCCCACTATTATCTACTATCAAAACAAGTTGTCAAACTCGATCCAAAACCATGTAGGTATCATCACAATCCAAACAAATTAATAGGGTTGCAGTATAATATCAGAAATAATAATAAGGATAATCCCGAAATTATTAAAAACTTAAAGGGGTGTCAACGTAATTATGTAAAAAGTTTGTCTAAATTGGAGGCCTTTTTTATCGACTTGACCGAGGAAGGCAACAAATAGAAACTGCTGAGGAGCGCCTGTAAGAAAGTTCATCTCTTCTTCCCTAAACATCTCTCTCAGATTCCGCCTGCAGAACTTGCCCGAAAACCATGGTAATCTAATCTGTCTCTCTGTAAAATTTCATGTCATTGCAAAGATATTACTGTTCATTTCATATGAACCTCGCTTACTTAATGGATGTTTGGCTGTTTTAATGGTATTTTTCTTTGTTTTTTTTTTTGGTGATTTTCATGTGCGGATTAGGTTTTTTTTTCCCTCGTTTACGATTCGATTGAATATCGCATGTAACAATCAGACAAATCGGATTGATTTTTGTTGAATTTTGTTTAGAAGTGAATCAGATCTGGAGGTTATTGACTCCTTCTAGGGTCAGTTGTTAGATCTTTACTTCGGAATAGTACCTTCTCATCATACGCTTTGCTTTAATCATACTGTACTGATTTTAGGCCTTCACGCCCAGCAGCAACCATGGGTGGGTATTATCTTACCACTACTCTGACCCTCTGACGGGATTGCTCAACATTCTTTCCCCTTGTCAACCTTTATCTATTGATTATCGGACAATTTGAAGCTCTATTGTATTGGCTTCTTATTTCCATTTGTGTAGAAAGTTGCTATGTGTGGTGTGTTATACGTGTTATACTTTTTTGGTATTGTATGATTCTGCTAATATGAGGGATTTCACATCGGTTCAATTAATTTCCTTCAATTTGATGTGGGTCTTGTACATATGAAAATGGGTTTGCTTTTCATGTAGATATGGTAGAAGTCTCAATCACACAGTTAAGAGGTGAACTATTGTTTTGGTCTGTAAGAATACTGCACATATAATTACTTCAATAAATACATATATTTTAGATTCAATTACTTGTATTTGTCTCTCATTATCAACCGATGTGGTTCACATGATGGCTCCTATCCAAATTTCTGGTTGAAGTTATCAGTTGGGCTGACTTGAGTCAATGTGGGTGGAACAAGGATTCGGAGTTACAGTTGGAATCTAGGAAGCACGNTCCTTCTAGGGTCAGTTGTTAGATCTTTACTTCGGAATAGTACCTTCTCATCATACGCTTTGCTTTAATCATACTGTACTGATTTTAGGCCTTCACGCCCAGCAGCAACCATGGGTGGGTATTATCTTACCACTACTCTGACCCTCTGACGGGATTGCTCAACATTCTTTCCCCTTGTCAACCTTTATCTATTGATTATCGGACAATTTGAAGCTCTATTGTATTGGCTTCTTATTTCCATTTGTGTAGAAAGTTGCTATGTGTGGTGTGTTATACGTGTTATACTTTTTTGGTATTGTATGATTCTGCTAATATGAGGGATTTCACATCGGTTCAATTAATTTCCTTCAATTTGATGTGGGTCTTGTACATATGAAAATGGGTTTGCTTTTCATGTAGATATGGTAGAAGTCTCAATCACACAGTTAAGAGGTGAACTATTGTTTTGGTCTGTAAGAATACTGCACATATAATTACTTCAATAAATACATATATTTTAGATTCAATTACTTGTATTTGTCTCTCATTATCAACCGATGTGGTTCACATGATGGCTCCTATCCAAATTTCTGGTTGAAGTTATCAGTTGGGCTGACTTGAGTCAATGTGGGTGGAACAAGGATTCGGAGTTACAGTTGGAATCTAGGAAGCACGGCCACTTCATGTTGGGTAGAGTGTCGGGGTCAGACACATTTAGGACACGGACACGCTTCGGACACGTTAAAATGAGTATCCGATTTTTTTATGGTTAAATTTTTTTTAGGACAGAGACATGTGGCCGACACGTTGGGATATGCTGGGGGACACGTTTTGGGATTTATTTTCAATTTGTTGAGAACTTTTCAGATAATTTTATAATTAAGAGTTATTTTTATAATTTTAAAGAGAAATGAGTCACAATCAGAATATAAAAAAAGTTATAATCATTACATTGAACATAGAACATGAATTTAACATAATTTTGGATACGAATACAAATCTATATACAAATAGAATATTCTCTTAATAAGAAAGTAATGTGAGAAAAAATGAGATGACAAAATTGGGGCTTTTAGAATTTGATGAAAATTAGTATTACGAAATGAAATATTTTTGAAAGTAAAAATTGTAGAAGTCATTGATTATTGAATCATAGATGTTAATGTTGGATGTGTATTAGTATATTTTATATTGTACTTTTTATGTAGTGATATCACAATGTGAATTTTTAGAATTATGTATGATAAAAAAAAATTAGAATTAGAAAAATGATGAATTAAAAAATTATTATGATAATATTTTTATTTTATCACATGATTTTATATAAATATATATATAAAATACATATTATTTAACGTATCGTTAACGTGTCCGTATCTTATTTTTTTGAAAAATTTCATGTCGGCATGTCTGTGTCGTATCGTATCCGTGTCCGTACTTCTTAGGTTGGAACAATACGAATCAGATAGAAATAGACCCCTTGTAGGAAAAGTGAATTTACATAACACTCTATTTCAACTGTACTTGTCATTTGGACATCTCTACATTTGAAAAGTATTGCAAGTGTAATCAGTTATTCGTCACGAAGGGTAACCCAAACATCTGTATTCTTGCTTGTTTAATTGGGAAAATTTTACCTCAGCTTAAGGGAAAAGACAATCACAACATGTTGAACATACTGTCGTATCTATAAAGAGCAGGCATGTCTGACTATTATGTCTGCTTTAAGAGTTCAATGGTGAAGAAGATAAATGTAGTTGTCTTTTGGGATTATGTGATAAATATTAATTTATGGAACCCTTTGCAGTTTGTTGTGTCTCTGTAATTTTCACTTCAACTCTATTGCTCTCTCTATCCCCTCTAGTTAATGCCTTTTTTAAAACAAATATTGGGCTTTGTCTGCAGACAACCTCAAGGCGTCTTGCAGATAGGAAGGTGGAGAGGTTTGAGAAGAATATCAAGAAGAGAGGTACAGTGCCTGAAACGACAACAAAAAAAGGGAACTCTTATCCTGTGGGACCTGTTATGCTTGGGTTCTTCATATTTGTTGTCATTGGATCCTGTGAGTTTCCTTTCCATGGTTTACTTATTCATAATTTTTTTTCCCACTTTGAAACTTCTCTTTAAGATCTTCATTGCCCTGTATAGTTTCCTTTACCATAAGGAAACTTATTGACCATAGATGAAGACATTCTTGTGTTTTGTCCTAACCAGGAATTGGAAAGCATATTCTGAATTGAGTAATCCAAAACTTCTGGATATGTAGAAAAAAAATACCATCGAGTATAGTGTGGCTCACGCAACAATCATGCACTTTTTTGCCCCCTAAGAGGAAGACTTAGCATTTAGGTCGCAGCTGGAAAAGTACTGGTGAATTGAGTAATTAAAAGTATCAGGACATGAAGTAAAGAACTGTTTTGATATGTCTAAGTGACCCTTGCTACTCCTGGATAGATCTTTATAGCCGTTTTTGGTAGGTATTCCGCGATTGATTTTGTTTTGCTGATATTGTTTATAACATGTACAGAATTTCATTACATCAATCTAAATCACCATCTTTCAGTAGTTCTTAATTATGCCAAGCCTAGGATTTTAATATCAGACTGACAGTTCAGCATCGGGGGATTGTCAGGACCGTTCAATATTATATATTGAGGTGGTACAAATTGGTCATCCTTCAATCAGTGTACAAATTGCTCATCTTCTCCTCACATAGATGCTGCCTGGCAGCCTTGGCTACTGGCGTTTTAATGAAAATAAAAACAAACGCAGACCTATGTTTTTATTTTATAGTCTCCTATATTGTTTATTGATTGCAGCTTCTCCGTTTTCTTTTATTGCCAGCTTTGTTTCAAATAATCCGAACCGCAACAAGTGGAGGCATGGCTTGAGTAACGCACTTTCCTATTGGCAGTGAGCTTTGACAGCTCTAGGGTCATGATATGATGTTTTCTGTTATCTTAGAGTCGATCTTCTGCTAGATTTCCTGCAGCAAAAATGCCCCAACGGTTAGCAGAAGGATTATGTGATGTTGGACATTTGTGTTTTTATGTGATATAAACCTAAATTAAGTAAAATACGATTGTCCTCCCTCTTTGTTTTCCCGAGAGTTGGCCTGATTACTCAATGGCAAAATGGTCTTCCTAATGCTTATGTTCCTAGGGGACCCCAGTCGGAAAATACCCTCACATCTCCGATGAAAACAGCTGATTGCCAAAACCGGACAGTTCTGGTGTCAGCTGAGAGGGGAAGAGACACTGTTAGCAAAAATGAAGGTTGGAACTTTGCCTCCGGTTTTAATTTGTACTATGCGAGAGACGTCACCAAGATAAACTCGATTTATGGATGTTCTCAATTCAGAAGGTATGTGAGGACGAGTTCATCGTAAGACCTTCCGCGTAGTCTAAAGCATAGTGCCCAACTAATACACCCCATATACTAGGTTAGAGGAGAATCCTACTACATTAGCAGTATCGTTGGCTCGTGGCTCATTTGGCGTTGGCTTTTAGGTGCGTGCGTGTTCGTTAGCTAGTTTGTATATTACTATACATTATGAAATTTATAGTATCTTCGTACGTACGGAGCAGGGTGTTGTATCCTAGGCATTTGATTACTTACATTGTAACTATTCAATTCATTTACAACCCTAAGATTAATATTACTTTTTTGATCAACAACCGAGTTTAGATGCAGAATATTGGCGAATAATCGATCATTCGAACCCAATGGCATTCCATTCTAGAAATAAAAAGAAAAACAATTGTCTGGGCCAAAAAAGAAAAGTCAATTCATTAACACAAATAAACAATAATATAGCACCATCAAGGAATTAAACTGAAGTTGAGTTCATAGCGATAAACGGGTAATACAAAAACCATTCGGATCTAACAGGTGGTTATAAACCCGCCCGGATCATCCTGGTCCTCTGGGTTTCTTGCGAAAAGCGCCTAACTGCTGACTCAACCTATCTGGCTCGCGCACCACCGCCCATAATTGCTCCTTTCGCCAGAACCCTACGCCGGGGTCTCAGCGTTGTTCCTCTCTGCACAGCCGCAACAATGGCGGCCACTGCTCCTACTTCTTCATCCATCTCCAAACATCTCCATATCTCTTTCTCCATCTCTCAAATCCCCAAAATTCATCCCGGCATTTACACTTCTTTTTCAGCAAAATTGAAAAGACTAGTGTGGGAACTGAAGTAGGGACAGGCGGGGTTCGGAGAGGATAAATGAAGAACAAATTTCAGGCTTGGAGTAAGGAATTAGGGGCAAGGGCAAGGATTAGGAGTGAATAGATGGGATACCGACTTGAGACTGAGAGAAATTAAGCACGGACAAACTCAGGCAGGAAGAGGATTAGGTGAAGAAACAAACTCAGACAGGGAGAAGAAACCAAGGAGAAGTTTCAGAGACATATGGGAGATAAGTTGAATAACTGGGAATCACACTTCCAGATTTTGCCTCCTCTCTTTCTTCTTTTTCTTTTTCTTTTTTTTAGTACACTACACATATCATCCTCAAACCACGACTCTTGTGTTAATTAAACCCTTGTTTTTTTTTTTTANAGAATATTCTCTTAATAAGAAAGTAATGTGAGAAAAAATGAGATGACAAAATTGGGGCTTTTAGAATTTGATGAAAATTAGTATTACGAAATGAAATATTTTTGAAAGTAAAAATTGTAGAAGTCATTGATTATTGAATCATAGATGTTAATGTTGGATGTGTATTAGTATATTTTATATTGTACTTTTTATGTAGTGATATCACAATGTGAATTTTTAGAATTATGTATGATAAAAAAAAATTAGAATTAGAAAAATGATGAATTAAAAAATTATTATGATAATATTTTTATTTTATCACATGATTTTATATAAATATATATATAAAATACATATTATTTAACGTATCGTTAACGTGTCCGTATCTTATTTTTTTGAAAAATTTCATGTCGGCATGTCTGTGTCGTATCGTATCCGTGTCCGTATTTCTTAGGTTGGAACAATACGAATCAGATAGAAATAGACCCCTTGTAGGAAAAGTGAATTTACATAACACTCTATTTCAACTGTACTTGTCATTTGGACATCTCTACATTTGAAAAGTATTGCAAGTGTAATCAGTTATTCGTCACGAAGGGTAACCCAAACATCTGTATTCTTGCTTGTTTAATTGGGAAAATTTTACCTCAGCTTAAGGGAAAAGACAATCACAACATGTTGAACATACTGTCGCATCTATAAAGAGCAGGCATGTCTGACTATTATGGCTGCTTTAAGAGTTCAATGGTGAAGAAGATAAATGTAGTTGTCTTTTGGGATTATGTGATAAATATTAATTTATGGAACCCTTTGCAGTTTGTTGTGTCTCTGTAATTTTCACTTCAACTCTATTGCTCTCTCTATCCCCTCTAGTTAATGCCTTTTTTAAAACAAATATTGGGCTTTGTCTGCAGACAACCTCAAGGCGTCTTGCAGATAGGAAGGTGGAGAGGTTTGAGAAGAATATCAAGAAGAGAGGTACAGTGCCTGAAACGACAACAAAAAAAGGGAACTCTTATCCTGTGGGACCTGTTGTGCTTGGGTTCTTCATATTTGTTGTCATTGGATCCTGTGAGTTTCCTTTCCATGGTTTACTTATTCATAATTTTTTTTCCCACTTTGAAACTTCTCTTTAAGATCTTCATTGCCCTGTATAGTTTCCTTTACCATAAGGAAACTTATTGACCATAGATGAAGACATTCTTGTGTTTTGTCCTAACCAGGAATTGGAAAGCATATTCTGAATTGAGTAATCCAAAACTTCTGGATATGTAGAAAAAAAATACCATCGAGTATAGTGTGGCTCACGCAACAATCATGCACTTTTTTGCCCCCTAAGAGGAAGACTTAGCATTTAGGTCGCAGCTGGAAAAGTACTGGTGAATTGAGTAATTAAAAGTATCAGGACATGAAGTAAAGAACTGTTTTGATATGTCTAAGTGACCCTTGCTACTCCTGGATAGATCTTTATAGCCGTTTTTGGTAGGTATTCCGCGATTGATTTTGTTTTGCTGATATTGTTTATAACATGTACAGAATTTCATTACATCAATCTAAATCACCATCTTTCAGTAGTTCTTAATTATGCCAAGCCTAGGATTTTAATATCAGACTGACAGTTCAGCATCGGGGGATTGTCAGGACCGTTCAATATTATATATTGAGGTGGTACAAATTGGTCATCCTTCAATCAGTGTACAAATTGCTCATCTTCTCCTCACATAGATGCTGCCTGGCAGCCTTGGCTACTGGCGTTTTAATGAAAATAAAAACAAACGCAGACCTATGTTTTTATTTTATAGTCTCCTATATTGTTTACTGATTGCAGCTTCTCCGTTTTCTTTTATTGCCAGCTTTGTTTCAAATAATCCGAACCGCAACAAGTGGAGGCATGGCTTGAGTAACGCACTTTCCTATTGGCAGTGAGCTTTGACAGCTCTAGGGTCATGATATGATGTTTTCTGTTATCTTAGAGTCGATCTTCTGCTAGATTTCCTGCAGCAAAAATGCCCCAACGGTTAGCAGAAGGATTATGTGATGTTGGACATTTGTGTTTTTATGTGATATAAACCTAAATTAAGTAAAATACGATTGTCCTCCCTCTTTGTTTTCCCGAGAGTTGGCCTGATTACTCAATGGCAAAATGGTCTTCCTAATGCTTATGTTCCTAGGGGACCCCAGTCGGAAAATACCCTCACATCTCCGATGAAAACAGCTGATTGCCAAAACCGGACAGTTCTGGTGTCAGCTGAGAGGGGAAGAGACACTGTTAGCAAAAATGAAGGTTGGAACTTTGCCTCCGGTTTTAATTTGTACTATGCGAGAGACGTCACCAAGATAAACTCGATTTATGGATGTTCTCAATTCAGAAGGTATGTGAGGACGAGTTCATCGTAAGACCTTCCGCGTAGTCTAAAGCATAGTGCCCAACTAATACACCCCATATATTAGGTTAGAGGAGAATCCTACTACATTAGCAGTATCGTTGGCTCGCATAGGCTTGGCTCATTTGGCGTTGGCTTTTAGGTGCGTGCGTGCTCGTTAGCTAGTTTGTATATTACTATACATTATGAAATTTATAGTATCTTCGTACGTACGGAGCAGGGTGTTGTATCCTAGGCATTTGATTACTTACATTGTAACTATTCAATTCATTTACAACCCTAAGATTAATATTACTTTTTTGATCAACAACTGAGTTTAGATGCAGAATATTGGCGAATAATCGATCATTCGAACCCAATGGCATTCCATTCTAGAAATAAAAAGAAAAACAATTGTCTGGGCCAAAAAAGAAAAGTCAATTCATTAACACAAATAAACAATAATATAGCACCATCAAGGAATTAAACTGAAGTTGAGTTCATAGCGATAAACGGGTAATACAAAAACCATTCGGATCTAACAGGTGGTTATAAACCCGCCCGGATCATCCTGGTCCTCTGGGTTTCTTGCGAAAAGCGCCTAACTGCTGACTCAACCTATCTGGCTCGCGCACCACCGCCCATAATTGCTCCTTTCGCCAGAACCCTACGCCGGGGTCTCAGCGTTGTTCCTCTCTGCACAGCCGCAACAATGGCGGCCACTGCTCCTACTTCTTCATCCATCTCCAAACATCTCCATATCTCTTTCTCCATCTCTCAAATCCCCAAAATTCATCCCGGCATTTACACTTCTTTTTCAGCAAAATTGAAAAGACTAGTGTGGGAACTGAAGTAGGGACAGGCGGGGTTCGGAGAGGATAAATGAAGAACAAATTTCAGGCTTGGAGTAAGGAATTAGGGGCAAGGGCAAGGATTAGGAGTGAATAGATGGGATACCGACTTGAGACTGAGAGAAATTAAGCACGGACAAACTCAGGCAGGAAGAGGATTAGGTGAAGAAACAAACTCAGACAGGGAGAAGAAACCAAGGAGAAGTTTCAGAGACATATGGGAGATAAGTTGAATAACTGGGAATCACACTTCCAGATTTTGCCTCCTCTCTTTCTTCTTTTTCTTTTTCTTTTTTTTAGTACACTACACATATCATCCTCAAACCACGACTCTTGTGTTAATTAAACCCTTGTTTTTTTTTGGGTTAATTGAGTCCTTCAACTCTCTATTTGTGTCATTGAGCCCTTCTGTCTTTATGTGCCATATGATCGCAGTTGTGTCATTGAGCCTTTTTGTCTTTTTTGTCATATGATCACATAAATGACGCAGAATCAGGAGTTCAATTTGATACAAAAATATTTTAAAGACATAATTAACACCTCATTTGTATCATAAGTGGCACACTTAGCCACTTTCTGTTAAAAAATCTAACAGAGTCTGACAGAAGGGTTTAATTGACACAATTATAGAGTTTAGAAACTTAATTGATATAAAAAAAAACTTAGAGACTTAATTGACAAAGGGTCATAATTTAAAGGTCATATATATAATTTACTTTTTTTTTTCATGTTGAATCTATTTAATTGGTATACAATGCAAAGAGTGAGACTATGTCAACTTAATTGGTTAATTTTTTTAGTTGTGTATTTGCGTGGATTCTTCAAAGCGTCGGCAATGTTAAAATAGTCTCATGTTATTTATAATAATATGCGGCTCCTAAGAGACCTTAGCTCCTTGGTGTGCCTGTGGCCTTATAACTCTGCTTTAGTGTGTGGTTGACAAACTGATTTTAGTGTTGTTGGTGTAAGTTGCATAACTAATTGCCTTTTTTGTATATGTACTGGCTTCAAGATTCTAGAATGGATATCAATAGAACTATCGTTTTCATTTGTAATACATGTAATAGTCAGGTTCTAGTGATGAGAATACCATGTTTGTCTGCTTTTGCAATGGAAAGTTTGTATGGCATGTTTGGTTTTGGTTTTGGTATGACATGTTTGGTTTGGTTCTGGTATGAGTTTTGGCTTTGGTACGACAAGTTTTGTACGATAAGTTTGGTTTTTGTTTTGGTATGATAAATTTGGTTTGGTTTATAAATACACTAAGGATTCAATGTAAACTCCAAGTATTTGGCGCCTAAGGAAGGGTTGCTAGCTAGTGCCACAATTCGTACTTTTTTCTTTTGCGGGGACCATACACCTTAGCCTCCCTATTGGTCCTTTCTACACACAATTAACAATGGCGACCACTACTCCTAGTTCCCTGTCCATTTCCAAACCTCCATCTCTCTTTGTCTTGCCCAAATCCCCACTATTCAAATCTAGATTTACCTTTCCTTTTCACCAAAACCCCTCAACTATCCATTGCCACCACTCTTTCCACATCTCAAATGTTCTCTCAAACCCGATAATCACTACCACCACTACCGAAAAACAAATAGAGAACTTTGTTTCCCCTTTTTCTAATAACGAACCCCAAAAAGGCTGCGACGTCCTCATTGAATCCCTTGAACGTGCAGGCGTTACTGTTGTATTTGCCTACCCTGGGAGCTTTTCAATTGAGATCCACCAAGCCCTGACGCGTTCCCCAATCATTCGCACCATCCTTCCGCGCCATGAGCAAGGTGGGATTTTTGCTGCTGAGGGCTATATGCGAACATCAGGCCAAGTAGGAGTCTGCATTGCCACCTCGGGACCTGGTGCAACAAACCTTGTTTCTGGGCTTGCTGATGCACTACTGGATAGCATCCCACTTGTTGCCATTACTGGTCAAGTGCCTTCTAAAATGATTGGTACCGACGCTTTTCAGGAAACCGCAATTGTTGAGGTAACAAAGTCAATTACTAAGCACAACTACTTGGTTTTAGATGCGAGAGATATTCCAAGAATTGTAAGAGAGGCTTTCTTTCTTGCTAAATCAGGCCGACCAGGTCCGGTTTTGATAGATATTCCGAAGGATATACAACAACAAATGATGGTTCCCAACTGGGATCAACCAATGAAATTGTCTGGTTATACGTCTAGGTTGCCTAAACCTCCTAGTGAGGGCCATTTAGAACAGATTATTCAGTTGATATCAGAAGCTAAGAAGCCAGTTCTCTATGTGGGTGGTGGATGTTTGAATTCAAGTGAAGAGTTGAGACATTTCGTGGAGCTTACTAGGATTCCAGTGGCAAGCACTTTGATGGGTCTTGGGACATACCCATGTTCAGATGAGTTGTCACTTCATATGTTGGGAATGCATGGTACGGTTTATGCTAATTATGCTGTGGATAGGAGTGATTTGTTGCTTGCATTTGGGGTTAGGTTTGATGATCGCGTGACAGGAAAGATTGAAGCTTTTGCTAGCCGGGCAAAGATTGTCCACATTGATATTGATTTGGCGGAGATAGGAAAAAATAAGCAACCCTATGTGTCTATTAATGCTGATATGAGGTTGGCTCTGCAGGGTTTGAATTCGATTTTGGAGGGGAAAGGAGCTAAGCTTAGGTTGAATTTTTCATCTTGGAGGCAGGAACTAAAGGAGCAGAGAATGAATAACCCATTGAGTTACAAGAGTTTTGGAGATGCTATTCCTCCACAATACGCAATTCAGGTTCTTGATGAGTTGACCAATGGGGATGCTGTTATAACTAGTGGTGTTGGGCAACATCAAATGTGGGCTGCCCAATTTTATAAGTACAATGAGCCTCGGCACTGTATAACATCAAGTGGATTAGGGGCTATGGGATTTGGATTGCCTGCTGCCATCGGAGCTGTTATTGCAAGACCCGATTTGGTTGTGGTGGACATTGATGGTGATGGAAGTTTTATCATGAATGTCCAAGAATTGGCTACAGTTCGGGTGGAGAATCTACCGGTCAAGATAATGCTGCTGAATAATCAGCATTTGGGTATGGCCGTTCAATGGGAGGATCGATTCTATAAGGCTAACAGGGGCCATACTTACCTGGGAAACCCATCAAACAAGTTGGATATTTTCCCCAATATGTTGAAGTTTGCAGAGGGTTGTGGCATACCTGCTGCGCGTGTGACACAGAAGGAATATCTTAGGGGTGCAATCCAGAAAATGTTGGATACTCCTGGGCCATACTTATTGGATGTAATAGTACCTCATCAGGAGCATGTCCTGCCTATGATCCCCAGTGGTGGAGCCTTTAAGGATATGATTACCGAGGGTGATGGAAGAATTGGGTATTGATCAATTGTCAATAGCAGCGGTGGAGCTGATTTCAGATATTCTATTTACCAAAAGTAGTCTTGGTGGTGAGGGCCGGTATAATAAGAATTAGTTATCTACTGTACTGTGACCAATTGTGCTGCTTCTTTTTCTGTTTTTGTGTTGACCAATCTATTGTGGCCCGGTCTAATAAGGGGCATGCTGGTGGCTTGAGTCCACCCTCCTCCAAAATCAAGATAGAGATTTGAGCCCCACTTTTGTCTGTGACGTTATGAGTATGTTCTCAATGCCAGAAATATGAAATGAGAAAGTCATTCCTTGTTTCAAACTTACAATGCAAACTTATTGATACTGTTTAACAAATGTTAAGCTACTACATATTGTTACAAATNCTTTTGTCTGTGACGTTATGAGTATGTTCTCAATGCCAGAAATATGAAATGAGAAAGGCATTCCTTGTTTCAAACTTACAATGCAAACTTATTGATACTGTTTAACAAATGTTAAGCTACTACATATTGTTACAACACATTACTCGTGCTTGGGCTGAAGCTGCTTGTATCAAAGGATTTTCTCTTGATCAAGAGGCATGTGATCTTTGAAGGATGAGCATGGGTATTGTCAAGACTGCACAGCAAAAAGTCAGGCCTGTGGAGGGCGAGGTTTAAGCGATCCTTTCCGACAACCAGTGCGGTGGCATCGAGCAAAACATGCCATGAGTTCCGATGGGCTTCAGAAACCCAATGCATGGAATATTGTGTCCCATTCACCTCCACTGGATAAGAAAATAGCCCTTTCGGGCTATGCTTACACTTCCTTCTGAAGTACTGGCTGAGTTGTGAACCCTTGATTCTCAAATCCAACCAAGTCTCTGGTGCTGAGATCACTTTTGATTCCTTGTAATTCGCAAATGCCCTTATGTAATCAATGTCTTCCTCAATGATGCTCATATAAAAGTTCCCTCTGAAGAATGGGTAGCTCTCTCCAACTAACATCATGGCATCCTTGTAGTTTGGAGTGAAAAGAACAAGATAATCCTCATCAGGTAGTCCGCAGTGTTTCAAAACTTTGTTTCGAGCTTGAATTTCAGGGATTGAGATGAAACTCCCTAGAAAGGAGGATTTCTTAGTGAGGACATCAAGCAATCTTGATGGCTCCAACTGAGTTTTGTCTAAATCAGGAAGGTTGTTTCCAAATAAGGGTGTGACTGACTCTTTAAGACCACCGCTAGGCGACTTTCGTTTCTCATCGGGTGGGGGCTCTGAAGGCTCTTTGATGCAAAGATCATAGAGGTCTGTCTTTTCTCCCCCTTCAACGAGGGCGTGTGAATACTCTGGGTATTTTGCAACAGCATACTGCTCAACATATTGCATTTCTGTTGGTGTGATTGGTCCTGACCATCTCAGATCGAGACCACGGAATGTTGATATGGCTTCAGCTATGATGTGAGGAGGAATTACTGTATGTGCTCTCTGTTTCATACCAGATTAGCAACAAAGTCAGAACTAAGATATTAGGTGGAAACCTTTGTGGGGAAAACCCATGAAACATAAGACACGAGATCAACTGAATTTACCTTAAACACCATACTGTTTGGTCTATCATTTTGGAATGCTGACATAGGAATAGAAGTGAATAGTGATTTTCTCAGATTGCCTTCCATTGATGCCTGATTTCTGATCTGATGTTACATTTAGAATTGTTAAGCTTTTTGAGAGTGAAATTTTGTCTAGATGTACATTCAGAGATAGAATGATGGCAAATTTAGTGTTGAATTATAAGCGCTTACCTTGGTTTGGTTCCTACTTGTAGAATTATCCCTTCTTCAGTATTCCTGGTAACGAGGTATTCAACCCCACAAATGAATCGAAAAAGATAACCCAGGATTCAGGAAGAGGATTTGGTACGAAAGAGAGAGTGCGAGAGTTGAAAAAGAGATACAACACTCCCTCGAAACCTCGGTTGCTGCACAAATTAAGGGGATTGAGGATTAAATAAGTCGAGAGGAGTTGAAGCAAAGAAGAAGGAAGAGAGATAAACTGCAGTACAACGCAGCTTCATTGGACTTTTTCTTTTGTGGAATTGAATGTGAACAGAGGACCTTAAAAAGGCATTGAAAGAAGGTACTGAGAAAAGACTCGTTGGGTTAGCAAAATGAAGGATTGACCAGTTCAGCCTTCATTAGAAGAACACTTCTTGTTGCAGACAAGGATCTAAATTTGAAGAAACCGAAAGTAGTCTCGACGAAGGGAAGAAAGCTACGCCGACAATGACAACCGCAATGTCTCGCTCCCGGGAATCACGAAATATTACTTTACTTTCTTTTTTTTTCTTTTTTCTCAACCATAGTTTAGATGAACTATCTTGGGTAGTAGTTTCTGTTAGTGAGTTTTGACTCGGGCGGGAACACAACCAGGTAGGTATCAACTGGGCAGGGAGAACAAGGTGTTGGGGTTCATCCAACGAGATATCAACCGAGTTTTACTGGTGCTTAGGCCTCGCTATTCTCGCCACGATTTGCGTACCCGACACGAAATCGCCACATGGGTTTAAATTTTGTGCAACTTTGGCACTTCCTTTGAGATTAAATTATTAGAGATTTATCTCTCATAAATTTTTAAAGAATTTGGAAGTCGGTATAAAAATTTAGACTTTATTGAGTTAAATTATAATAAGAAAACTTTATTTGACCCTAATTGTATTTTTTTGAAAAAAGTATAAAAGACAATTTATTACTCTCTCTCTCCATTACTCTATCTCTATCTCTCTCTCACATTTATAATTTTTTTTCAAATATGTAAAGATTTGATTTAATTTTTTCATCTTTTTCTCCTATTTTTTTCTCTCTCTCACACTCTCCATATTTTTTCTCACCGTTACTCTTTCTCTCCTTATTCTCTCATTTTCTCTCCTTATATCAACGTTACAATAATACAATTACATTAATTAGTTACAATTACTTTATAATATACCAAGNTTTTTCAAATATGTAAAGATTTGATTTAATTTTTTCATCTTTTTCTCCTATTTTTTTTCTCTCTCTCACACTCTCCATATTTTTTCTCACCGTTACTCTTTCTCTCCTTATTCTCTCCTTATATCAACGTTACAATAATACAATTACATTAATTAGTTACAATTACTTTATAATATACCAAGCAGTTATTCATGTGTTCTAATAAACCAAATAGTTATATGAATTACAACACTAACTCAATTTGTCATTCAATTGTTTACATAAACCAAATAATTACACCATTTAATATCACGATATGGTTACACAAATTATATACACTAAATTGGATTTATCATTACACAAAAGACTTTATCATTATACCAAATTTATTTAATATAATTGGTGTAATTTTGTCGTGATACTAAATGGTATAAANACAAATTATATACACTAAATTGGATTTATCATTACACAAAAGACTTTATCATTATACTAAATTTATTTAATATAACTGGTGTAATTTTGTCGTGATACTAAATGGTATAACTTTTTGGTTTATGTAAACAACCGAATGATAAATTGGGTTGATGTCATAATTTTGTATAATTGTTTGATATAAATTTTTGATTTATTAGAACACAGAAGTAACTGTTTGGTGTATTATAGGGCAATTGTAACTGATTAGTGTAATTATGTTGTTGTAATGATAATATATAGAGAGAGAAAATAAGAGAGAGAGAGAGAGAGAGAGAGAGAGAGAGAGTAATGGTGAGAGAAAATGGAAGGAGAGAGTGAGAGAGAGAGAAACCAGGGACAAAGATGAATAAATAAAATCAAATCTCTATATATTTGAAAAGAAAATAAATTATCAATAGAAGATAGAGAGAAAATAAATGGGAGATNAATCTAAGTGCACTTAAGTTGACCCGTACCATACACTCTCGATCAAAATACAAAAAAATAAAATAAAAATGAGCCTAAACTATTTTCAGGTGATAAACAAATAGACTCTTCAAATAAATAAATTTATAAAAACATAGTCAAACACGGTGNGAGAGAGAGAGAGAGAGAGAGTAATGGTGAGAGAAAATGGAAGGAGAGAGTGAGAGAGAGAGAAACCAGGGAGAGAGATGAATAAATAAAATCAAATCTCTATATATTTGAAAAGAAAATAAATTATCAATAGAAGATAAAGAGAAAATAAATGGGAGATAGAGNCAGGGACAAAGATGAATAAATAAAATCAAATCTCTATATATTTGAAAAGAAAATAAATTATCAATAGAAGATAGAGAGAAAATAAATGGGAGATAGAGAGATGGAGAGAAAATAGGAGAGAGAGAAAGAGATGAAGAGAATAAAAATTATGTATAATTTAAGGGTAAAGTAAGGAAAAAAATTCAAATGTCATTTGAATTTTGTATTTAATTACAAGATGTCTTATTTAAAATTCAACTTAATAGAGTAACATACTTATCCATACATTTATTCTCAAATAAGTCTAAAAAAATGTACCTATACCAAAAAAATCCTAAATTTTTTAATCTCAGAGTAGACAAAGGCCACGGGAATTGGCCCACCCTCAATTTTTTTTCTAAATTATATATATTTAAGTTATTTTTAAAAATATAGTGTGTTGTGCCCACATTTAAAATTTGTTTTAATTTGCAAATTTGTGTGTTCTTTTGGTTGCAATTGATCANTCTCAGAGTAGACAAAGGCCACGGGAATTGGCCCACCCTCAATTTTTTTTCTAAATTATATATATTTAAGTTATTTTTAAAAATATAGTGTGTTGTGCCCACATTTAAAATTTGTTTTAATTTGCAAATTTGTGTGTTCTTTTGGTTGCAATTAATCTCTATTTTTCTACAATTAATGATTGATTTGTTTTCATTGGATTGCAATGATATTATTACACTTACTTCTTAAATATATTTTTTTTGTGATAGCTTTGCAATTTTGATATAAAATAAGAAAATTCGCCAAGGTCACTNACACTTACTTCTTAAATATATTTTTTTTGTGATAGCTTTGCAATTTTGATATAAAATAAGAAAATTCGCCACATAATAAGCTCACATTTCGANCAATGATATTATTACACTTACTTCTTAAATATATTTTTTTTGTGATAGCTTTGCAATTTTGATATAAAATAAGAAAATTCGCCAAGGTCACTTATAAAGACAAGTAATAAGCTCACATTTCGATAAGAGTTACAATTGATTATTTTTTTTGGTCATATATGTTTTGAACTTTTTTTATTTAATGAATTTTTATTATGAAATATGATGTAATTAATATAAATGTGTCACTTTACCTTTATAAATTGGGAGAAAAAAGTTAGCGTCAAGGAGGTTTGAGACAAACCTACTCTAAATTTAAAAATAATTTAGCTACTATATCTATATGTATTTGTATGTGGGACAATCAATCATAGAAAAATAATTCTATGAGATTATATCTAGACACCTTCAATAAGGTTTGATCTACTTTAAATTTTTTTGCGAATTAAGTGTAATTTCTAGTTTACTTTTATATAACCATTTGATTTTTTTGTGAATAGCTTAGATTTTTATCGAATTTAGATTTGTGATATACACCATTTTATCATGTCTAATGTTATTTGGATCTAAAAAGTTGATTTAATTTAATGTAGTTTCAATTGAACCATTGAATTAATACCAAGTTCTAATGTTTGATAGATCCCACAATTAATCTAAATATCAAAATGAATTAAGTCAGTAAATTAGATCTCAATAGAATTACTCTTTTATCATATAGGTTGCTCACCCTTAAGCCAATTTCTAACTCTTTTTTTGGGCGTGAATAGCGTAGTTTTAATTAGACCTAAGAAAAAATTAATCTAAGTGCACTTAAGTTGACCCGTACCATACACTCTCGATCAAAATACAAAAAATAAAATAAAAATGAGCCTAAACCATTTTCAGGTGATAAACAAATAGACTCGTCAAATAAATAAATTTATAAAAACATAGTCAAACACGGCNTACTATATAAGATCTTTCCATCCGACGTAAACAGAGAGAGAGAGAGATTACATAGAAGCCAAGGTCAGAGAAAGATTGTTAACATTGAAGCAAATAAACATTAAATATTCAAAGTCCTCTGTGTTTGTCCCAAAAACATGAAAGCAGTTGGTGAGAAATGTTAGCCCCCCCCCCCCTCTCCAATTTAGAAACGACCTAAAGTATCCGATACTCAAGCTTGCTGTTTGGTGCACGGAAGTAATTGCCTCATTTCGCTATCGTAACAATATATACCATAGGTACACTCATTACACCACAATTAGCCGTATAATCTTAAGTTTATCAATAAATCTGGCCCCCTATTGAAATTTTTGGTATTTTTTTTTTGGGTTAAGTAAATTTCGGTTTGTCTTTCCTTGAATCTACTCTTGAAAAGGACTACATCTCTTTCTCTCTCTCTCTCTCATATGATCTCATGTCGTTTAAAAATAAAATTAGATGCATGTAAATAAATTATTGGGCACCCATTCCTTGCAGGCCACTTTTCGGTGGCAAACTTTTAACCATTGGTTTATAACAAATGGTATCAAAGTCAGCCACCACACTGAAGCCACTTTTCAGGGGCAAATTTTTAACCATTGGTTTATAACCGATGGTATCAAAGTCAGCCACCACACTGAGGATGAGATTGAACGAAACGTGAGTTACAACAGTTTATAATTGAGTTACATAATGAATGACTTATAGGTTAGATTAAGATATTGAGCGAAACTGCCAAAGAAAAAAGACTATTGTTGTTGGGTCAGTGTTAACAAAATGAGCTGCCATGGATGTTGACCATAGAAGCGTTATACGATGGAACGTTAAAATTTCACATCGGTTAAAAATAAGATTAAATGCGTGTATAAAAACTCTTGAACACCCTTCTTTTCCGAGCCGATTTTCAGTGACAAATTTTACCCATGGATTCATAACTCTCTCTCTCTCTCTCTCAAACATGCGCGCGCACACTCAAAGAGACAGGCNGTTCGATCCACGGGACATAAAACACATACAAGGAGTAGGAATTGAAAAATAAAGACCCAAATGACAACGATCAAAGTGAGGACCACAGAATGATGGACTATTACAGTGTTGGGCTCGCCTACATTACAGCCAAAAAAACAATTAGGTACCATACCACTTAAATTTTACTACTTCAAAAAGTATTTTTATAATTTTTGTTGGTCATTTTACAATTAAAATTTTGTATCACTTTTGCGGTTGATTTACTACTTTTTGTGGGGGTTTTTTTTTACTACATTTGTGGTAATTGTTTTTATCACTTTTCTTCGGTACAAAAAAAATTATCACTTTTATGAGTGATTTATCACATGTGAGTGTTTTTATCACATATGTAAGTATTTTTAGTACATTTGTGAATGTTTTTACCACTGTTGTGATAATTATTTTTACCATTTTTTTAGGTACCACAACAGTAATAAAATTACTTACAAATATAATAAAAATTATCACAAATATGATAAATTTTGGTATGATAACGAAATTTTGAATTCAGTACCATAGTCAAGAATTATGGTGTTTATAAAGTTTACTTTAGGATAGATTTAAGCAATATCATCAATCATCTAAATAATGTTCTCTGACGTCAAACAAGTATAAAAAATTAAAAGATTTTTAGACTTTGTACTCAGAAAGATTTTAAGTTGTTTTTTATTTTGTACATTTAAAGATTAAATTTTTCATATTACACCCTCAATATATCAAAAGTATTACAAATTCGTTATTTTTTCTGTCAAAAGTCAATCTATTAACACTGACAAAAAAACTAATGAAAGTTAATAGAAGGGACATATTACAACATTTTTGATACATCGGAGTTATTAATATAAAAAATTTAATCTTTGAGAATATAAAATAAAAATTTTAAAATATTTCAGGGTGCAAAGTACAATTCACCCAAAATTAAAATGCCACACAAATTAAGACTGTAAAGGATATATTGGGACACCGTTACTATATAAGATCTTTCCATCCGACGTAAACAGAGAGAGAGAGAGATTACATAGAAGCCAAGGTCAGAGAAAGATTGTTAACATTGAAGCAAATAAACATTAAATATTCAAAGTCCTCTGTGTTTGTCCCAAAAACATGAAAGCAGTTGGTGAGAAATGTTAGCCCCCCCCCCCCTCTCCAATTTAGAAACGACCTAAAGTATCCGATACTCAAGCTTGCTGTTTGGTGCACGGAAGTAATTCCCTCATTTCGCTATCGTAACAATATATACCATAGGTACACTCATTACACCACAATTAGCCGTATAATCTTAAGTTTATCAATAAATCTGGCCCCCTATTGAAATTTTTGGTATTTTTTTTTTGGGTTAAGTAAATTTCGGTTTGTCTTTCCTTGAATCTACTCTTGAAAAGGACTACATCTCTTTCTCTCTCTCTCTCATATGATCTCATGTCGTTTAAAAATAAAATTAGATGCATGTAAAATACATTATTGGGCACCCATTCCTTGCAGGCCACTTTTCGGTGGCAAACTTTTAACCATTGGTTTATAACCGATGGTATCAAAGTCAGCCACCACACTGAGGATGAGATTGAACGAAACGTGAGTTGCAACAGTTTATAATTGAGTTACACAATGAATGACTTATAGGTTAGATTAAGATATTGAGCGAAACTGCCAAAGAAAAAAGCTTATTGTTGGGTCAGTGTTAACAAAATGAGCTGCCGTGGATGTTGACCATAGAAGTGTTATACGATGGAACGTTAAAATTTCACATCGGTTAAAAATAAGATTAAATGCGTGTATAAAAACTCTTAAACACCCTTCTTTTACGAGCCGATTTTCAGTGACAAATTTTACCCATGGATTCATAACTCTTTCTCTCTCTCTCTCAAACATGCGCTCGCACACTCACAGAGACAGGTAACTACCGTATAATTCATTTAATAATAAAGTTAGAACCAAAAGTATGCCAACTGTACAGATGAGTGAATAAGTACTGAAGTTTAATCTCAAACCTAGGTCTAAGCAGAAACAAGGGAATATTTGCCAACTGTTACATTTGCAGCTAGATAAGACCCAGCTGAATAGGATTTTTATAAGGCTTATTTGGCCTCGAGACAAGGTGTCAAGCCATATATATGATATATGATATGATTTTGAACACTCTGCCGTTACTAGTTTCCATATGTTTTAATAGCCTGATTGCGGGAGATATCAATGGGAGTCGGTATGAATAAAAACACCAAGTTAGCAGGTACTCAAACAGCTGTACAATGTTTTAATTTTTTTTTCTCGAATGAAACCAAACAATAGAAGAACTTCACTAAGTAATGTCCACAACCCCACTGCTACTATATTAATATACTATTTTGCTGATTGCCACCTTGTATCCAACTACCATTAGACTAATTTAATATTCACATGAGTGCATAGCTAAATCAGAGTGGGCTTTGACGTAGTGCTAAAAATTTCAGGCGATTGGTCAACTTGCTGTCAAAGGAATATGTACATAGACAGCCTGATGTTGTACACTGAGGTGAGAAGTACCTACCAATTTGCCTCCAGGCTGAATTCTTCATTTACTCAGTCCGATCTAAGAATTTCCCAAAATATGGTGTGAACCTGAAATATGCAGCATATACTCAAATGGAACTGTAGGTCTTAAGATAAAAAGATGCAAGGTTAAGATAAAAAGATGCAAGGCTACCAGCAATGGTGGACATGTCTATCACCAAAAGCATCATTCACTTGCATCTCTGCGCTGCAATAAAAAAGGAAACACGTAAGCCTCAGGAATTTCACTCATGGAATCCAAGCCGTATTTGAAGTGGGCAGTTAGTTTCATGGCCCATTCTACAAGGGGATTTTGTGTGATATATCCGCTTACAGCAATACATTAATAGACTATATTTCAGCAAAAAAATAGAGACAGGGGGTTGGGTGGGTTGGTTATCATGTCTCTAAATTAACATAAGCTAGTATATCAAAGTGCATGAAGTGCTCCTGCCACTCTGTCACTAAATACTCAAGAAGAATCATCACTTAAATTCAGGAACCACATGATACCTAAGATGATGTCACAGTAAAAGCAAAAGCCAATGAAGGCATACTCCTGCATACCCACTCAATTTCAAACACTAAAGACAAAGAAACCTCCAAACATGTTCTAAGATGTGACATTATTTTCACAAAGAAGGCATTATATCCAGTGAATGTAAGGTGCTTTAGGAATCACACTAATTACAACTGACACGGGTTGCACAGTTCTCCTTGACATTGTACCAGCCGCCATGATTGGGCATGCATAGAATTTGATTGTAAAAAACTAAAAATCAATTTTTGTTGATCGACCATTACTTTTACTGATATAAAAAGTAATTACAGTTGAGACGAACACGTCATCTAGGTTTAACACTGTCTTTTAAAACTAATATCTGTAAGGGGATATTGCAAAGCAGGTTTCAGGATTCCTTCCGACTAATTGCAACTCACATGGTAGCACAGTAATTGGAAGATCTATCCCTTGAAGAGGTAATTAATGAAAAAAAATTATCTATAAGGCATCAATACATGCAGACAATGCAGATTTGTAAAACGAGATACTTATTATGATTATGAGAACATAAAACATATGTAAGTATCCATCACACACACACACAAACAGGAATTATAGAAACTCGAAGACTTAAAACACGACACGGGAATACAAATTTACCATTCGTTTGCTGATGTAAGGCTGTAATGGTATTGGCTCCTCGGACTGACTTTCAACTTTGCGGGATTGTTTGTTTGCCACCTCAAATTCTCTTCTAGATTCCTTCCGGCTACCTGATTGCCATACTCTACCAAAATTGGGAAGCCAGTTAGCATTGAAACTATTAGAGACAAACTCTCCTCTCTTCTCCATCTCCAGCTCAATCTTTCTTCTCTCTGCCCAGGCAGCTCCAACCCGTTTGGGATTTAATTTAGAGGACTTTCCTGATTTGATAGGAGAAGAAATGTTGCTCAGTCCTAGTCCTGGATATGACCTAATATCTAGCTGAGTTTCGTCGCATGCATTAAGCCAAGGAGGAGGTGCTCCAGAATGCACATTTCCTTTAGCCACTTCCTGAACTGCTGAGGAAATTTGAGTGAGGTTTTGCAAACCTGAAGAGAAAAATATAAAAGATGAAAAATGCAAGAGAATGGAACACCATCTTATCAACCACCGCCTGCCACTGAGCACCAATAAATCTATACATTTTTCCTGCATAGTGTCCATAATGCCAATCCTTAGGAAGTGACAATCAACCATATACATGCCCAGCTTCTGAGAAGGTACTTAAAAAAACCCAAAACAATAAAAATAAATAAAAGCAAAAGAAAAACTGAACTAGTCAAAGATGTCTACCCTGAGAACTGCACGCTCCATTAGCTGTTTCATGGCGATATACCTGGAACATCTATACTCATTATATATTTTCCAATAGATCAACAAGAAGTTGACAAGAGGATAACAAAATATGCTCATCCAAAACTCACGATGAAAATGATNTTATAGAAACTCGAAGACTTAAAACACGACACGGGAATACAAATTTACCATTCGTTTGCTGATGTAAGGCTGTAATGGTATTGGCTCCTCGGACTGACTTTCAACTTTGCGGGATTGTTTGTTTGCCACCTCAAATTCTCTTCTAGATTCCTTCCGGCTACCTGATTGCCATACTCTACCAAAATTGGGAAGCCAGTTAGCATTGAAACTATTAGAGACAAACTCTCCTCTCTTCTCCATCTCCAGCTCAATCTTTCTTCTCTCTGCCCAGGCAGCTCCAACCCGTTTGGGATTTAATTTAGAGGACTTTCCTGATTTGATAGGAGAAGAAATGTTGCTCAGTCCTAGTCCTGGATATGACCTAATATCTAGCTGAGTTTCGTCGCATGCATTAAGCCAAGGAGGAGGTGCTCCAGAATGCACATTTCCTTTAGCCACTTCCTGAACTGCTGAGGAAATTTGAGTGAGGTTTTGCAAACCTGAAGAGAAAAATATCAAAGATGAAAAATGCAAGAGAATGGAACACCATCTTATCAATCACCGCCTGCCACTGAGCACCAATAAATCTATACATTTTTCCTGCATAGTGTCCATAATGCCAATCCTTAGGAAGTGACAATCAACCATATACATGCCCAGCTTCTGAGAAGGTACTTAAAAAAACCCAAAACAATAAAAATAAATAAAAGCAAAAGAAAAACTGAACTAGTCAAAGATGTCTACCCTGAGAACTGCACGCTCCATTAGCTGTTTCATGGCGATATACCTGGAACATCTATACCAAACATTATATATTTTCCAATAGATCAACAAGAAGTTGACAAGAGGATAACAAAATATGCTCATCCAAAACTCACGATGAAAATGAANACAAAGCCGTGAGAACAAAAAGTAAAGGTAAAGGAGGTGACTTCTTAACTCACAATTACACTCTTCATTCGTAAGTTTAAAGTTACATGAATTAAAGTTCAAAATTTCTTCCCAAATCTATCAGATCATAAAGCTCACCCTTGAAGATTAGACATAAAATCCCATCAATGCAACATTGCTATGAGCAACTGCTGTTGCCAGCTGAAAGTTGGAACTGAAGATGTGTCAATTCAGAACCTCGATAAGCTCAACATTGCAGAGATGGTGGGGGGAATTAGCCTTAGTAGGACAGAGACCACATAAAAATTACTTTTCTCTGAATGAATTCACTTTTATTTTATTGGTCTACCCCAAAAAAATCTTATTTCGTCCATTTTTAGAGTTCGTATCTTCTCCTACAAACAAGATCTCCGACCCCATTTTAGGATCTAGGCAAGACTATGATACAATAAAGAGCTTGTGATCAAAAATTTTATCAGCAAGGCAATAACTACCCAAAATAAGACCTGATTGAAAACACATTATCCTAAAAAGAACAAACAAAAAACTAAGAATACAACATGTACCTAAAATCAGTGGTAAGTAAGCTTACCCCTGTCTTACTGTTATAACCATCAGCAGAGCATATCCCACCATTAGAAAGGACAGAATGTTGGCTATGCAAGTAACCTAAGTCAGATCACAAATAAAAAATTCATTACTATGACTACTCTCACTCATAATATAAGAGAATAATATAAGAGAAATAACTTACTAGTTATATCAATTATGTACCTGTTAAATCCTTTGAAGNTCAGATCACAAATAAAAAATTCATTACTATGACTACTCTCACTCATAATATAAGAGAGTAATATAAGAGAAATAACTTACTAGTTATATCAATTATGTACCTGTTAAATCCTTTGAAGCCCATGGATTTGTATCAGACTGTGTGCCCGCATACAAATATGAGTTAGCATCATGAAGAAGAGGGCCAGCCTCAGAGACTCTATATAATTCTGAATGGGATACCTGATATCTCTCAGTTGTATAATTTTGTAAAGGCACAACACTATTTGAACAACTTGAATTAAGAGAGTGGATATTATTTTTGTCAAAACTATCTGTGTATTCAGAGTTCAATTCATTGTGGATATCATTTAAAGGTCCGATCAAAGCACCATGAGATCCTTCGCTAGGAATTTCATTCTTCAATGATTTGCACTTCTTCTCCCACTGTAACCACAGACAAACAAAAAGTGGTAAATATTGTGTAGCTCCTAAAGAGGAGAACCAATGTTTCCCATTACAGAGGAAATATTTTTCAAGAGTTATATACTTAACAAATGCAAATACAATTCCAATATAATACCCCCGTGTTAATTCGCCACAAAAGAGAAAATAGAACTATTTGTATGAAACATACTCATATCTATAGAAGATAGAAAGAAATTAACTTTAAGTGAAATAGTAAAAAAAGACACCACAACTTTCAGTTTTAAAAAAAAAATTGTATCCCCTCATAAAATTCAATAGGGAAATAGGATTGATGCAAATGATTCCAACTAGTTGACAAATATTTTGATGAATTGAGTTGGATCAGTATCTAGTTGTGGAGTAAGAGGGAGAGCACCTAGTAATTGCTGTGACAGATTAAATTTTTTGGAGAAGACAGTGACACTAGGTTCGTATTCTCTTCATGATATCCAGAGGTATGAGCAGTCAATCAATAATTTGTGTGCTATAGGAAAGCAAAACCTGGAAACTAGGCTTTCAATGACAATACTTTATCTTTTGTTCCCCATATATGGTGTTGCAAGGAAGAATGTCATCATTGAACAACCTTTGAACGTAGAATGCATTAAGATTGGTTTTTTAACCATGAGAATGAACACATCCTGTGTTCTGCTATGGACGCAATTCTTTCCGAAAATTCTCAGCTTGCAATTCAATAGGCATAACCAGTTAAACAAATTATGGGCCATAACCAACCAGATGAATAGAATGCAATATTTCCACATAAAGCCCTTTAGATTGTTCAGATGATCCACACTATGGTTCTCATGCTTGGCTAAGACATCAGATGCTAAAGCTGCTAAACATGTGGAAAAAGCAACACACTAATCCAAAAAAGATGAATACTATACAATGCAAGAAAAATACCTTAGCCAGATCTGCCTCAGGTATACAAAGAGAATCCACACGGTCCACCCCACCACCATATTTCCATAGAAAAAACTTTAAATTCTTCAAGTGATCCGCACTCGCCATATGATTAATTGAATTACCACTGACAACAAAGTTCAAATCACAAATCCAAAACACCAATAGAATAAAATTGGAAACCAATACCATAATGATCATGCCAGGTACCCACAAATCGAGAAACTTGTAGTAAACAATGATTTTGTATCAAGGTTTCTACTTCCAAACAGAATTTCATCTAATTCACAGTTCAATGGATAATATTCTTTTCTTTTCCAACATAAATTGATAAATACATATTTTCAAAGTTTTAAATTGTTCTCTTTCCCTACGTTTCCTCAGCAACAAAAAAGATCACAATGGAAATCCGTAGAAACAATAACTGAGGTACTTACCAAGCGAATGAGCTACCGACCTCGTCGATGTCAGAATCGCAGAAGACGCAGCAGAATCGGTTCATAGAAGCGTGTTCGGGGCGAAGGAGGGTAGGGTTTTTGAGGAAGAACTTGACGTCAGAGAGTTTGGCTTGGAATCGAGAGAGGAATGATGAGAGAGATTTGATGTGGTTCGGGAAGTAAATGTGGCGTCGTCCTTGGTCGTGATTCAGTTTGCACACTCTGCAGAACTCGAATTGATGATTTTTCTTCTCCTTCTTCTTCATCGGCTTCGTGCCATTGTTTCTAGGGTTAGGGTTAGGATTAGGATTAGGGTTAGGGTTTGAAATTTCTGTCTGGTATTGATCCTCCATTGCTGTACGGACAATCGGAGGTTCAGCCCGCCTCTATTCAATACTGGAGGCCCGGAACGCACCGTTCTCCGGCTTTTTGGGTTCTTAAATNTATTGATCCTCCATTGCTGTACGGACAATCGGAGGTTCAGCCCGCCTCTATTCAATAGGCCCGGAACGCACCGTTCTCCGGCTTTTTGGGTTCTTAAAATTTTTTGGGTGAATTTTATAAATTCCCCTTAAACTATGCTCTTTGTATAAAAATATAAATACCCTCTAAACTTTCATTTGTTTCAATTTATCTTTTTAACTATGTATTTAATTTAAATTGACAACTTTTGTTAATTTTAGAACATTAAATGACATAGATTAAAACATGTGAGATACACCTTTCGTTAATTGAATTTGTGTTATTTAACGTCTATAATTAATAAAATATATTAATTAAAATTAATTATATATAATTCAAGAGATAAATTAAATAAAATAAAAATTCAATGAATATTTTAAAACAAAGGCCGTAATTTTATTTATGAATGACGCTAATAGATCTGTAAATTTTAATTTCCACTTTGAAAAAATTAAAATTTTTATATTACACTCTCAATCATATTAAAAAATAACAATGTGATCCAAAATTATACATTCATTGCTTTGTCCGACAAGTTTATGTCTTATAGTTTTATATTTTTCTATTTCTATACTCAATTCGTTGTATGTTACTCAATTTTTATAATTTTATAAAAAAATTGTGTACTTGCAACTTTTATAATTTTTCAAAATATAAATTAAAAATTTAATTATCTTTCGGTGTACAAAATAACAATCACTCAACAAAAAAAATAACAATTTGGGTATCGATTTCCTAGTACTTTTTTTAACATATAATATTCAAAATTAGTAAAATGGATTTGATTTTTTTTTCCCTTGCAACAAAATTTAAAGATACATTTACGCTTTAGTGTACAAATTAATTGTATTAATAATTATATTATATTTATTCTGTAAGGTAAAATTGTCACGCTGTTATTTTATGGTTACAATTCAAATCGTAAATGGTTGACTGCAAGTAATTACTCATAAACGAAGCACATCAATCATATCCAAATTTTTTACTACTATAGATTACAATTCAAATCGTAAATGGTTGAATGCAAGTAAACCAAGCACATCAGTCATATCCAAATTTTTTACTACTATAGAAACTTGAAATCAAGATATGCTTGCCCATCGCAATTTTTTGACCACTAGCAATTACAAATGGTGAACATAGGAATTCTTGTATGAACAAGGGTTTATGGTTACCGCAGGCTTGATCAATTCTTTCTTTTTTTAACGTTTAGAGGTGTCTGGATTATTTTAAGCGCATTTCGACTAATTTTCTTTCTAATCTATCAAAGGTAGATCATCTACACCGAAACTAGGATATTAATAAAAGATAAATCCCTCATAGTCTGACTCAAGAGATTATCAATATTCAAATTCAAAACGTTTGAATTTATAATTTACACTTATTACCATTTAAATTATCGTTCATCATGCATTTCGTTGATATCGATCATAACTGAAAAATTATAAACTCAATTATGAATCACTTTATCATTCACCTTTTTCTCTTCTTCCCATAGATAAAGCATCCCCACTTCTGTCTGTTGCCTCAGTTTTGCAATGCCTATGGTCATGGTGTGATCCATATTTCAGCCCCCACCATGTTTTCAAACTTTCCCACCCTCCAAAAGTAAACTGACTTTTCTTTTCTTTTTTTTTCTCTCTCTTTCTCTTGATTGGTTTAGGAATGACTTGACTGAGCTAGCAGTCTTAACCATTCAGTTATTGGCTTTCCCGTGTGCCACAGAGACAGGAAGTGATGAATGGTCTAATCTTTTTATGGAAAATTTACTTGCTACTTCAAATTATTAAATCACCCTATGGCTCAAACAACAACCCCACCATTCTTTGTCTTGTCTTCATTCTATATAGCTCCCCCACCATGGTCCAGGTCCTTATGCAAATCATGCAGTTAAGGAATGGCTCCATATAATTACCATATCTATCCTACCAGGAAATTAAGAACTAACTTCATGGTTTATATATAATTGTGAGTTTTACAGTGATTTGTATGGTTTCTGCTGGCAAATTACTATATCTGCATATACTCTACCCTGCAAGTTATCATAACCTATCCTACTTTTTTTTTTTTTTTTTTACCATGAAAGAACCATCTTCATAACCCCGCTAGTGTAATAAAGAGAAGATTTTTCTGATGTGCCTACGTTAATAGTCTTGGTCTATTCAATAAACATAGTTTATAAATACATGATTGTAGTTATCATAAGTTATCCTATCAAAAACAACGTATTGATTAACTCTCCTAGATTGCTCGAATGAGTCACATGATTTGTTTATGATTGTGAACTTTATAACAAGAACCCAAAAAAGACACCCCCCCCTGCGCGAAGAAAGATCTATGTTTCTATGGTAATTGAAGTGATTTTTATGGGCCTAAAATGTCTGTACCAATAATTCATGTATTTTAGGTGCAGTAGTCCATTATACGATCACAGAAAGATAATCTTCCAATGCACGGCTCAATCTAAGAGTGATGTTAATGGATTTAACCTTTCTGCATTAACTTTAACAGTGTAAATACTGTTACTAAATCGGTACTCTACGTACAGACAACTCAAGAAGACAAATGTTAAGGATTTGTCATAATGACTGGCTTGATGATTCCCCAACAAGGTTGGTCCTACACCTTTATTCCTTCCAGGTCTTCGATTTTTCTTTGAAAATTGATTGGTCTTGGAATTCTCTGAATGTATCCAAATGAAAGATAAATGACAAAGGAGCCGAGTCTGGAATATACCTGTGGCAGTATGCGAGGGTATGTTCAATCATCAATAGTATTATGAGCAGGCAATTTCAAGCAATTATTTAGGTTAAGTCGCTGGTCCATTGAAGTGAACTGTGATAATTGGGATTGTTTTAGAGCAAAAAACTAGCAGAAAGGACAATCAAAATATTGTGTAGTATCATTTTCAAATGTATCAGAGGTTTTTTCACATCTTTCGGAAGTAACCCGTCGTTTTAAGCAGTAGGAGTGAGTGCTAACAAGGACATCAATCCGGTCCCCATGCTCCCTACTGTTTCAGCTTGTACTAATGTTTGTGTATTCGCGCGTATGTATTTTGTATACGGATAAAAAAAACACCAGATTATAATGAGTATTGATATCTTAGCTAGGGGATCTTTTATAAAATCAAATTTTACAAAAGCTAAGCTGAACAGAAAGTCACCTTGTATAGTTGCTAGTATTTGACAAGGGAGAGGTGGTCTACCACCGGGGTGGTAGTCTAGTTACCTTGGGTGAAAGTTCTGTACTCTTTCAATGGTCATGGGTTCGAATTTGCTTGCGATAGTAATTATCATTGGAGGGGTAAATGTCCAGTTTGTCCTTGGTGGTGTTGTGATGACGACGTCGACCATTAAGTAGCCATGCCTTAAAATCGAACATTCTACAATGGATAAAAACCTCAAGGTAACGTCCTAAGGGTTACTATGTCTAGTTGTCCTTGACCACCTTTTTAAATAGCAAAAAAAATGGAGAGGTAGTCTTGACATCTTTTTCAAGTGATCGTAGAAGTAATTGGTGACTTCATTGGTTGTTCAGAGGGAAAGAGAAAGGTTTCACAATTAATGACTCACTAACTTGAGATCTCAAGTTCAACTCTCTTAGGAAAACACTTCTTGTTGTGGGTGATTATGCACATTGGAATTATACGTAACTACGAGTTCAAAAGGCGTGAATGATACATGTACAATTCAATAATTGGCAGCAAAACAAGAAATGAAGAGGTTGATAAGAGAAATAGGGATTATTCATCAGATTCGGAATTAGAATCAGTTGTTTAAGTTACGGAAACAATCTTTCTGCTTGCAGACGTAAAATTACGTACATATAACTCTCCCCAGACCCCACAATGATAGTAACCTCGTGCACCGAGTACGCCATGTTAAAAAAGGAGAATTATAACAAATTAAATGCTCTCCAGGTCAATAATAGTGTAGCTTTTTTTCTTCCATGCCCTCATGCTACCTGTGTTTATACACTTACTTTTTCACAAGGCCCTTGAATCTTCTTTGCCCCCACTATATCCTGTCATGACCTCAAGAAAGAACCAAATCAGTGTATTATTGAAGCCACTGTTTGACAGATTACCTGTATCTGAGTAATGTGTTAGGAACTTGCTGACAAATCAAGAGCGAATTCCATTCTTGCGACATCTTGAATGGGATGCAGCCCATTCACTGCCCTGCCTATTACTTTTAGAAGAACTCGTGGACAGTTTCTGTACATTAGATTCCAATTATTATCGGGTTTGAAGAGTTTCAGGTATACGCAGTCTTATATTCACATTCTGATAAACTATTTGTACAACTTCAACCCGAAACTCTTAGATCATAATCAACCCAACTTTATGGTCACTCTTCTTTTAGTAAGACATATCCTATCCAGACATGGATAGTGGGGGTTTGGCTTTTGAATGAGCTAGAGTTAAGAACTTTTATACAGCTATATCGTCTTCTTGTTAATGAATTTGTTTGCTTTTTGTTTCAATTCATTTGCCTTTTCTATGTGCATCTAATTCTAGGGTCTGAACTCCATTGTAGTCACATTGTGTTTGACTCTTTAGGTCCAAATAAAAAGATGTACTTAGTGTATGAGACTCTCGTCATTACAAAATCTGAGAAGAGTTAAATGCGCGCAATTTTATTCCTTTAAATAGAGGGGCTCCTTAGCTCTTTAGATCAATACCGTAAATAGATTAAAAAGTTGGAAACTTGGCTTAATCCAGAATTCACCCCAATGGCTAGGCATCTTATCATGCTGTCTCGTATATCGAGTCATGTCCCAAGCAAACGTTTCATCTCTCTCGAATTATTATCTAATGTAGTGATTGTACACACATGGTCGTAATGTTTCATCCCTCTCTCGAATTATTATCTAATGTAGTGGTTGTACACATATATTCGTTGCTCTAATCAACAAAGCATGCCAAAAACTAATACCAATTTCAATGAAGACACCAACTCCAATGACTATTGCTTATGTAGGGTGCCTGTTTTATATAAGTCTATACATCACTTTTAAGTTGTAATTTGATATCTGCTAATATGTGAAGAAGAAACACTAATTAATTAACTTCAAAAAATAACTTAAATAATAATAAAGACGTGTTATTTATTCAAACGTTTTAAATTTGAATCTTGACAACTCTTTAGTACTAAGTCACGAGAGATTTATTCATCATAAATACCCTAGTTTCAGTGTGGACAAGCTGATGCGAATACTCTTAACTGTTAAAAAAAAACACTAATCGATTAATTCTAAGGTTAAAGTCCCCTCCGCTGAACACTTCAGATGTAACATATTTGACAGGCAGCCAATTTGGTTGATGTCCTCAAAGTTTGATTCCGTTTCAATAGTCGAATCTACAGTTTGTGGAGTTCCTTATAAAATTGGATAAAATTTCCTATTAAAAATGCTATAAAATTATATCTCCACTGTGCAAGTGAAAGTATATTACGACTTGTATTTTATCCCACAATAGTACCATAATTTCCTTCCTTTTTTTATGGGTAGCGATCAGTTTTGAATCTTTTATCGGTCACTAAAATATATGTCAGCACTTGGCACATAACGATTGGGTTAAATACAAAGGTTTTAGCATAGGAAGTTCTAATTAATCATTAAGTTAAAAACCTTGTATGATCTGAGCTTAAATGTGAACGACTAGAAATGAGAGAATGAATTGAATCTACTACAACATGTACAATTAGCTAACAGAAAAAATGAAACAGTGATTGAATAAATTGATGTTTTTAATGTGTATTGGTTGATCATCAAAGTATGCTTTTTGTATGTGACTTTCAAAACTTGTGGGTTGCTAGCTTCACTCACAAGACCTTGCAGGATCTCGCAAAACTGGATAAGACTACGCGCATGTTGTGATAACAATAACAAGTTCAAATACACACATACAATTCATGGAATAAAAAAGGGGTTTGATTTCACACAAGAGACAGTGCTTGATCTGAGTAACAATCAAATGATGTAGTTAATAATTATTTAACATACAGATTTCGCCATTAAAAACAGGCATTTTGAAGCTTTCAGTAGTGCCCCCTTTATTGCATCCTTTTTGCCTTCTCTCTTCTTTTGCAGAAGGAAATGTCGAGATTCAATACTCAAAACTTACAAACTTGCAGTGAAACTGAAAACGAAACGAATCCAAATTCAATATCATTTAACCTCGAAACCCTTGGCGGCAAGATTGGCAAGTGATCTCCATGCACCTTGAATCAATCCTCCGAATCGCTCTCTCCTTCAACTTCTCAGCCTTATCGACCTCTTCTCGAGCTCTATCCCACATGTTCCTCGCATGAGCGAACTCCGATTGCGCCAACTCCATTTCTCTTCTAGTAAGCTCCCTCACACGCTCCGCATACGCCTTCTCCATAGCAGCCAAACGAATTTGCTCCGCCGCCTGCCACTTCAACGCCTCAACGCCAGATGACTCGTCTTTTATATCCGTGATTGGCCTCGTTAGAAAATAATCGGACGGTGGCTTCATTGGCCGGAGACTTATTGAGAGTTGAAGGTCTAGAGATGGACCTTCGAATGGATCCATTGATCGGAACATTACAGAGGAATCGGACGGCCACGGTGAAGTGTGTGATGAAGAAGCTGTGGTATGTGGAGAAGGAAGTAGTTGTAGTTCCTTGTGGTCTTCTTCCATATTGAAGATAATGGGAAGGACAAGAGGAAGTGACCAAGGTGGTGAGGGATGGCAGAATTGGTCTGTATATATATAACCAATACATTCATGGTCTAATCCCGAAAATACCCATGCTTCCATGCAAAATGACTTAACTAACTTCAACTTTACGAAATGACATATACACCCTTAATATTCGATATTGTACGATCTTTTAATAATATTACGTATAGTAGGGGACGTACTAAATATACGAGGATAAACTGTAATATAAACCGAAACCAATGATTAATAACAACAAAAAAAAGGGGCCAAAATCTTTGGGGCCAATTCATTCTTCCACATCTTATGTCCATCATTGGTGTATCTTGGGGTGTGATTTATGTCCTTCTATTGGACTTAGTCCGAACCTAACCTAAATTTATAATTAGTTTTTGTGAGTTATGTATAGACAAACAACCGCAACCTCAGTGAATAATTCAAATGGTAACACATATAAATTGTAAATTTGGACATTTTGAGTTTGAATGTTGACAACTTCTTGAAATTAGGTCATGAGGTATTTATTCATCGTGAATAACCTAGTTTCGACGTGGTTGACTTACCTAGAGATGATTAGTTGAAGTGCATATAAATTAACTCAAACACCCTTGACAATTAAACTAAAAAAAAAAAATCTCAATTGCGATTTTTAAACTCAAACAATACTTGGACAGGAATATTGAGTTTCCTACAATTAATTTGAACATACTAATTCGAGCCCAACACAAATTTTAGTTTGATTTGTACAATTCTAGAATCTATTTAAATTTTTTACATAATTCAACTTAAATTAAAGTTTGGGAATCAAATTCGAGTTTCAAGTCGAGTTGTTTTACTCAAATTCATGATCCTAAGGATGAATGATACTCGGATTCAAATTGGAGATCGGGTTAAAATCAGATTAAAAGTTTCATAAAACTAAAATTATTTCCCAATTGGCATTTCAATCCATTCGAGTTTGCTTGCATTTTATAGGATGCACAGTTAAATATGCTAAAGTGTAGGGGTGTGATGGTCAAAGTGTATCAAGAGGGACAAGTCCGTTGTAGAAGAACCACATATGAAGAAAGACAACGGATCGCGTTATTTGGGAATGAGAACCTTTTTGTTCACAATGAGCTGTTTTTACTTTCTAGTTTCTTAACTTTTAAAATTGACTTTATTTCTTAAGAGATGAGGATGGGCTACGGAAGAGGGGGATGTGGGAGAGTAATAATTACACTCGCACGTGCTTCGCGTTGGAAGTTTTTGGGTGGTGTATTGATACTTAGACATAGGTTTTAGGTTGTAAATTTAATTTATTAACTTAATTCATTATAATTACTAAATTAACAATAAGTTTCGATATATTTCACTATCAATTAAAGAACTGAAATTGATGACACCAAAAATTCTCCAAAAAATACCTCGAACTCCCAACTAAGTTCTCTCAACTCAGGTCTTTCAGTTTAGGTCTTTCAACTTAGGTCTTCCACCTTGGACCTCTTAGTTTGGGCTCTCAGCTTAGGTCTTCTAGCTTAGCTCTTCCATCTCGAGCACAGTATAACAACGACATCTCAAACCTTCTAGAAAATCATATCATGCCTAAAAAATATAATATTTAATGGCCAAAAATTCCCAGCACATAAGTCGTAACAACTATCAGAGGATCACGTTGTTTACGCAAGAATCCCTACTGTTACGAAAAGGTCACTACTGTTACACAAGGATTACAACAACTACTCAGGGATTACGGAGAAACTCCTACACACTGTAAATAGAGACCAATCCCTCGCTTTAGAAGGGGAAGATCAGTGAATAGACTCTCTGTAACTTTGTACTCTTTTTTTTCAAATAATGGAAAAATCCACAAGAATTAGAGACTATTAGAGTAAACTAGCTATGCTTCAAAGTTGATAAACCATTATAAATCTTCTGTCTATCGATTTCAATTAATAGTTGTTGTCTATATGATTTGCTATTCACCACTATGACTCTAGTAACTTAAACCGGTGGCCCAAGGAATATCCATTACCATCCGTAATAAATCTTTAATTTATTTCTTCCTTTTTTTTTAAGTCTCGAACTCTGCTACACAATCGGATAAATTACACCAAGAGAAATAAATTAGATTGACAAATTAAATCAGTAAACTATGTATGAAATAGTGTTAGTCTATTAAGTTAGTTGTTGAGTATTATATGCGTGAGAATCTCGTATAGCTAAAAAAAAAAAAAAGGTATATTACACTTTAAACCCTAAAAGATTTTAACATTCTTACTTTGAACACTTATAAATTAAAAATATTGCAACATGACCTTTCTATTAACTGCTATTATTTTTTTTTCAAGTGTCAACAATAGTCAATTCATTGACACTAACAAAAAAACTAATAGAAATGTCACATTGTAATACTTTTGATAGAGTAATGGTGAAATATGAGAAATTTAATTCTTGAGAATATAAAATGAAAATTTTAAAATATTTTAAGATGAAAAATATAATTCATTAAAAAAAAAAAAAAAGTTAAAATATTATAATTTATTGTTAGTGGGTCCACCCGTTATAGACGTGAATTTTTAGATAAATATGAGATCCGACAATATTGAATCTTTGATCAATAGACACTCAATCTCGCAACAGGTAGTAGAGGGCTTTTCTCATGACTTTATTGTAGGCCTAGTTTTGTCGGCCCTCAGAACAAAAAGCTCTCAACTTTCTCTCTCTCTATTCAGCCCATGCTTCTTCTACAGCTTGGCACGTGGGAGCGCCGCTGTAAGGAGCCTAACTATGATGATGATAGATGAATTTTTAGTATGCTCAATCTACCACTTGGATCGTTCATTTAAAGTGGGGTCCTTTCCTAGAGTGCGTGATAGCTTTATGGATCCAACATCATGTGGGTGGGAGGATTTGTGTGCAGAAGATCTTGTTAACTCGTGCCATGAATTGAAGTCTAATCTAATCAATTGTACTTAAGATAAAATTAAGTGAGAATGCTACCATACTTTCAAAAAAAATAAAAATAAATTAGTACCATAAAGACATATATAAACTTTTAGAATTTCTTCGACCAATTCTTAAAAATATAGGATTGATGATCACAAAATTATATAAGATCGGTGCAAAATACTTCAAAAAATTGTAATTCGCCCGCTAAAAAATTGTATTTCAATCGTAACTTTATTTTTGTTACAATTAGACTCCAAAAACTTATATCTTAATTCATAAAAATTATAAATCATACTTATTTCGGTACTGAAATCAAATCTTAAATTTAAATGTTGCGGTGCTTGTAGAGATCTTAGGCCTAGTGTCCACCCTGATTTTTTTTTTTTATTAAAAAATGACCTATATATAATTTTAATTTTTTTAGTATATTCAAATTTGTTCACCCTATATTATTTTCTCATCATATTAATTGGTATAAATATTCAGATGACTATAAACTTTCGAAAATTCTTCAAGCACACAATGGTTATATTCAGATAAATTTAATATATATTGAGATAATTTTATAATTTTAAGCAGAAATTATGAAGTTCTTTTGATATTTTATAAAAATTAGAATCATTATTTATTAAAATATAAGATCATTTTTTATGTCTATAAAAGAATTAAGAGTCACAAATCGTTGTAGAGAGATCATTTCGAGCTATGACAACTATGAGAACTTAGTTGCATAACCGAATTGGTGATAAATAGGTAATTAATAATGTGAATTTAGACAAAAGAATCCTCCTTAATGGGTGAATTTAATTATAAATGATTGTAATTAATTTCATTTTTTTTTATAAATGATTGTCTATTTCAACTCTTTTTTTTGTTTGTAAAAATTATGTACAACGGTTTTTGATCCTTTTATTCTTAGTAAATTTTTTAAGTATTAAATATGATATAAATAATAAACATATCATCTTAATCTTACCGATTAAAATAAAAAAAAATTAAAATATTCAATCTAAAAAGATTTTCTGACTCTACCCTTGTTTGCATAGAACGAGAACAAATTATCTTAAAAACTAAGAAATGTCACAAAATAGGACCTTATTATCGATTATATTATGCTTCTCATGACAACATTCATGTCATGGTGGTTCAATCTATATAATAAGATAGTTAAGTGTTTAAACTTACAGGAGTATATTTTCTCCTCAAATTTTACACACTCGTCATACTTTTTTTTCCAAATTTTACAAATTCAACACAAAATATATATACACTACAACTGTACACACGTAGTGTCATAGTTTAGTACTAGTGACTTCAGTCATAGAATATTGCCAGTCTAACTATATTGAACCAAAACATATTCTTTCGTACATGCATAATTATGTATGTGTAATATTATGGCAGGTACATGGAGATATAAGAAGGGGTCCTTTTAATATAGCCTTTTCTTTTATTAACTTTTGGCATAGGCTAGATGTTCAACCTTCGACTATCATGAACATGCGAGACAGAATAAAAACACTCGAGCGCTAAGAATGTACTTTGCCGAAAGAAAAAAAAAAGGTTGGGGAGGATAGTATAAGCTGGCAAAGTTTGATCTTGGATCCTTAAACACTCTCCACTTGATGATCCATTGTCCAATCATCAAAGAGCCGTCCTGAAGGTCACACTATTTAATTCTAAAAGTAATACATTATGAGCTGGAGAGATATTTAGCTTTATTTATCTACTTAGCAAGGCGGCCAAGGTTTGACTTTACGACAGAGGAAGTTGGGCCATGCCCCCCAGACCAGTTCTTTCATCAACTGGCCCAGTTGTATGATTGACCCGTATGAGTGTACAGTGACGTTATTTGAATTTAATTTATTAATTTAATATATTAAAATTATTAGATTGATTATGAGTTTTAGTATTTTTTGGGATATACGATAGGGGTGCACTTTGGGTTGGACAATCCGATTTTAACTCGAGCTCAACCCGAAAAAATTAGGATTTGAGCAAGAGTTTTTAATATTTGGATTAAGCTTGGATCAAAAAATTCAAACCCGAATTCAATTTGGGTTGGACTCGGGTTCAACTAGAATCCAATAAATCAAAAAAAAATTATATATATATATGATCAATAATCGTGCACTGTTATGAATGAAATATATGGATTATGTTTTATGAATTTGTAATTATTCACCCTCTCTCTGTCTCTCTTGCAGTGGACTGGTGGCAATGATTTTTATGTTAAAAACTTTGTTGAAGTTATTGGTTGTTAATTTATGTGAATATTATGTAATATATGTATTGTGTTTAGAATAACAAACCTATTTTGGGTTCTACTTGAACTTAACTCGAATTGAACCCGTAAAGTAATCCGAAATCAATAACTCGAATTCAACCTGAACCCGCCCGAATTAAACTCAAGTAGTACTCGGGTTGAATTCCTCAACCGGAGGTAGGGTTAGAGTTAGAGTTAGGGTTGAAGATTATATACTTAGGGTTAGGCTAAGGTTGACTGTCAAATCCGCTCGAATTGCACCCTTAATATACGGTTATAATACATGAAGTCAATAAATTAGATTCAAATAATATTATCAGTGATATAATACTAGATATTAGGTTAGTGGTTCATGAATTGACCCGAAAACTAGGTGGGCCATTGGATCATGGGTTGTCTTGACCTGTCACGTGAGGACCTTTTCGTTTTTAAGTGTCTACTAGGTTTTATTTTTAGTTTTACTTTTATAATGTGTTGGGAAATGTTTTTTGGTATCTTATTTGTTGATACGATGAATCATAATCTTTAAATTTATAGTGGATTCCAAGTAATAGTGAGAACTATTATTAATCTAATGACAGAAAATAATAAAGTCACTAAATAAGTCTATATAGCATTACTCTAATTTGTTATAGTACAATACTATTTTGATATAATTTATTGACTTAATCATTCATAACTGTTTGATTGACATTAAATTCCAATATTTATTATCAATTTAATGATTGAGACAAATTATATCAACAAATTAAGTTTAAACAACATTATTGTTTGTTGTAAGACAATATCATACACGGCTGTTTAGAGTTACAAAATCAAGCTCAAAAGATATCTTCTATCAATAGACCTTTGGTTTAATGGTATTTCTTATCTTGTAAATGTTTTGTCTTCTTGAGGTTAATGGTTCAACTCTCCCCCTCTTCTTTCCTCTCCCCAAAAAATAGAAAGAAAAAAAGAAAGAAGAGATTTCTTCTAAGATTGTCTAGAAGAGCAAGTAAGTTATCTCCATCAATAGTGCCCCTGCAGTGGACTGTGTTGTATAATTGATTCCTGCCAGGGGCCAGGGTTTTGTGTGGAACAGTTCACAATGAAATGGATTGCACATAACATCACAATATGTTTTTTTTTGGGTTGCAATGTAAATTTCAGATCTATGGAACCACTCACATACAACATGCATGTGTTAAACTCATGATTATGATGATTCAATAGAATTCAAACTTAGGACGGATGAGTATACGCTTGTCTTTTGTTCGATTACTTACAAACTTAAGATGTATGAATTTGTGCTCGTCTTTTGTTCGATTACTTAATCTAGAATGTGTGAAATTGCCGGAGGAAAACGGGAGTCCCACTAGTGCAGGAAGAGGGACCAATGTATAATTTGTTGGTATGTATTTGTCTCCAAATATGCTGATAAAAAATTCAGTAGCAATGTTGCTTTAAGGAGGAAAAGTTGTAGCGAGTGAGGTGGGCAAGGAGCATGTGAGAGGTTGGGTGACTTGGAAGTTTTTGGAGAGGTATTAAATGCCCCAAAAGAGTCACCTTTAGTCACTGCTCTAAAGACGACCCCATATGAAGCAGTGATGGAGGTCGCTTTTAGAGGCCAAACCATACACCCACAATGATTCACTTATCATGGTCTACAACTAAGCCCTTCACAGTACTTGTTCTTTCTAAAACCTAGCAGAAGTCATGGAGGGGCCATAGGTGGACCTTGTATAATTGCTACCCACAAGAGGAACTAGAGTTTTTTTGTTCGAGTATTCAGATTAATACTAGTAAAGTTAATCAAATCGAACTTTTCGAGTTTTGATATGCTTAATTTTAGTTTGAATCAACTCTCATATGTTAGAACTCGATTATCAAACTTGAATTCTTATTCAAATTCGGCTCGATTATCATAATCTCCAACTATTTCTAACATAGGTCAAGGAGAGGTCATGGGTGGCCTTGTCAAGGGCCATCCATAAGAGTAACAGAAATTTTTGTCCAACTACACGTACCGAGTTTTGATATGCTTAAGTTTGGTTCTTACTAACTATTATATACTTGAGTTTGGTTACTAAGTTTAGATTTTTGCTCAAACTCAGTTTGGTTGGTCTCCAACTAAGCCCTTGCCCTTACACTTGCAGTATGTGTCCTTTCTAATGCCTCCTAAAGTCAAGGGGGAGCCACAAGTGGCCTTATTGTCAGCCGTGGGAGAAGCCCAGAAAGAGAGTTTTTATCCAAGTAATAAGACCACCATTACCGCGAATAAATAATGGGTGTAATAGTGATATTATATCAGTGTTTTAAAATCCGGCCCGGCTCGACGGGTTGACCCGGTCTCCTAACCGGGCCGGTTTTGTAATTGGATCATTTGAACAAAAAATCCGGAATAAAACTGGTGAACCGGTCAAAAAATCAGTAACCCGTGAAAACCGGACGGGTTTACAAAACCGGTCGGCTTTGTTCCTTTAGTATAAATATGTCTTTTTTTTACATTTTTGTGTCTTTTTTCTTTTCCGCTTCTGTTTTGCCCTAAATCCTAAATCATTCGTTCAGTGTTTGTTAACTCAAAAATTAAGTGAATGCAATTAAGTGATTCAGGTTTGAGGGTGGAGACTGGGCTATTAATTGAATGCATTGGTTTGTTAATTGAATGCAATTAAGTGATTCAGGCTTGATAACTTTGTTTGATTCAATATATATTAAACATGTTATTTTTATAACTATTTTAATTTTTTAGTCTATTTATCATCATTAATAATTATTTTTTATTTTTTTATTATATCACCGGTTCGACCAATGACCCAGTGGTTGAACCAGAAATCCATTGACCCGATCCCTTCTTCGGATTGATGTCCGGGTCGGATTTTAAAACTATATATTATATCATTATTAAAACGTAGTATTTTTTTTTTGTTAGTTCAACATTTAGGAGTGTTTGACCTAACTTAGACGCACTTTGACTAATTTTCTCCTTAATCCGATCAATGACAGACCATCCATATCAGAACTAAACTATTAATGAGAGATAAATCTCTCATGACCAGATCTTAAAGGGATGCCAAAATTTGAACTTATGACGTCTGGATTTACAGCTCATTTTTATTACCACTTAAACTACCCCTTCAGATTAACACGTGGTATCTTCAACTCATAATGAAATATCAAATGAGATTGGTGAAACCTATTATTCATACATAATAGTTATTAGATAAGATAGTTATTGACAGTTATTTAAATGATAAGACCCACTAAATTCACATTGTATACTATATCTGATTAATAACATTGTGTAATATTAATGACATAATATCACCGTTACATGGAATATTTTCTCCATTAGAATAAGTTCACATCTGTTGTTTGAGAAACATTGAGATTTTAAATCAGGGCCTTTCCTCGGAAAGCATATGTGGTGTCAAAGTTGATTTTAGCTATTTGGACTCCTACAAAGTCAACTTATGAAATGTGGAGTTCGTCAAACATGGGCTGAAGTCCAAAGCGAAGAGGCCCTGATCACAATAGCATATGGGTAATAAGGTGGGCTAGCAGTGGATGGAAGCGGGTGCGGGAGATGTAATATTTATTTCTATACTTGCTTAAAAAAATTTCGTTCATTTCTAGTCCATTATTGTTATCGGGTATAGTTTTTATTTTTATTTTCATTTCTGTCTACAGATAAATTTGTAATTCTCGCCCCCGTCCCTATCCATCTTACCTGTCCAAGCCCAAGCCCAAACGAAAGTCAAAGCTAATATAATCTAAAATTCTAAATAAATTTGACATTTTAAATAATTTAACATAATTATAGAATATTATAACATAATTAAAAATTTGTCATCTATAACATAATATAATTAAAACTTAGTCTACAACATAATCGAATATAATATAATTAAAAACTTTATCTCCCATATAAATCTAGCATAATATCATGCAATACAATATAATATAGCATAACATAATTCAATATTAAAAAAAAAAAGTCCATGCTGGTTTGATATGCTGAAGCGTAGCAGCATGGGTGACTTATTGGGAGTCTCTTGTGTTTTTGGCACTAAGCAGCCTAATTAAGAAAGAGGACAATTTTGATACGGGTTGGTTCAATCATCGAATAAAGAACAAGCCATATGCTGGCAGATCTTGGGTATGAATTTCAATTACCGCAATAAAACTCGGGTTTAACAGAAGCAATCGCGCGTGGTTGAGATGGGCTGGGCCGTTCTTGTACTGCAAAATATCTACATCTTTTTCCCGCTTCTTTTTCTGCTCTTTTTCACTTTCTTCGCACCTAAGCATAAAGCTCTGCTCTCTCTCTTTCCCTGGTTCGTTGTTATAGTGAAAGCCATGAATTCGAGAGAGATGGTTTTGGTTTCAACGGCGACTCTGTTCGGCGCATTTGCTTCTGCAATGGCGATGCGCTTCTTCTTCAACCCTAAGAAACATCTCTTCTCGACAATCAATTCGGAGTCAAACGGCGTCGTTGGGAGGAAAAATTCTACTCAAAGCCCCTTCGATCCTTCCAAACGCAAAGGGTCAGTTGCATCATTTTAACTTCCTTTGTTTGTTTTCCGTGAAAACAGGAAAAACAGAAAGAAAATATGAATTAAATTAAACAAACAGCTTTTTCAATTGTTTGGGGTTTGAGAAAAGTTATACACTCTCAGTTAAGCTAGTGTTTGTGTTTCGCTTATCACGCTTATCTGTTTCTTTTTTCTTTTCACCTGGAAAAAGTCATGGAAAATATTTTCTCAGCGACCAAACAACGGTAGTGAATCTAGTTTGTTGAATTCAGGTATTTATCATGGGATGACTATTTCATGGCAATCGCATTTCTATCTGCTGAGCGGTCCAAGGATCCTAACAGGCAGGTCACGTACCTGATCTCTCTCTCTCTCTCTCTCTCTCTCTCTCCTTGCAATTCAAATCATTCGTTTTCTGTATTGTAGGTAGGTGCATGCTTGGTGAGTCAAAATGGAATAATCCTTGGTAAGATTGCTTAGTTCAAATTCACTGCTATCTTGATGAAATTAATCAACAAGAGAGACATCTTCATTGTTATTTTTTTCACTTATGCTTACAAAAAGAACCATCATATTTTAAAAAGATAAAAGAACTTCAAATTTTTTATGCAAGTTGATCGAGAAATAACTGTTTGTTTCTATTTCTATCGTTTTAGTAACTAGTGTTTGCGAATCCACAAAGGTGGATCAAATCATTGTTAGCATCCTAAACTTTAGAGCTTCACAGTGATTGTCATTACACTTTTAACAATTTTTTAAGTTTTTCTTTAAAGTGTGGACAAGCACTGGTTGGGGACAGATTGCACCTTCTGTTTGGAATGTGAATGAATTCTCCTAAAGTCCTAAAGTAATTAGTCTGTTAAAAAAACACTTGGAATGCTGATCTTCCTGCAGAGATATCAATAGTTATATGCAANGCTTGGAATGTGAATGAATTCTCCTAAAGTCCTAAAGTAATTAGTCTGTTAAAAAAACACTTGGAATGCTGATCTTCATGCAGAGATATCAATAGTTATATGCAATGTTATCGGAACCGGACCGGACCGGTCATCGAACCGGCAAGGGGATCGGATCAATTGTTCACTGGTTCAACCGTTGGGTCAACTGGTCGGACCGGTCGTATAATAAAAAAATAAAAAAAAATTATATAATAATTATAAAACTTAATAATTTAGCTAAAAAATATAAAATATGTATAAAATACATATAATTTGCCATAAAATTAATGAAATTAAGTAACAAAGTGGGGGTTATTGTATTTTAAAGTAAAGTAAAGAGGTTCAAGTAAATTATAAAGAAAAGGAAAGGGTGTCATTTATAATTTATCCAAAAATAAGGTTAAAAAAAATCAGCTATTTACTGATTTAGGACAAAAAAATTTATTTATGTAATTTAATTTTTAAATAGGCATTAAATCGTCTAGTTTTTATAAAACCGCCGGTTCACGGTTTTTAACAAAAAACTGGCCGATTTTTCAGTTTTTAGCCAGTTCCCTTAAACGGTTCAATTAAGGAACCGGACCGATTAGGGTCCGACCGGCCAATCCGGTCTGATTTTGATAACACTGGTTACATGGTCTTTTTTTGCATGTGTGGGGAAGCTTCTTACTTTTTAAAATCTTACTGGGGATTGGTCATTGCTGTATCATGTGCATTTTTCTCAGGAATCTGCTGTTATCTTTTTATTCACACAATTGTCAGTAATAAGGCTCAGTCATTTACTTGTTCTACATCCTGGTCACTATATTTCTTCTCCTTTACAAAATTTATCTACAAAGTGATATTGAGGGTTATATATAAAGTTCCATCATGCTCAGTCATTTACTAGTTTGTCATTCTTCCAGTTAGTGGTGTGATGATATTGGTACTCATTGTGCTGCTCCTTTATAAAAAGACTATAGAAGTCTTCTTTGTCAAGTATAAAACCTGATAGCCCTTAATATGTTCACAATGAGTTTCGAGATTTAGAACTTCCATGATAAAAACAAAGTCCTCTTGTGTTGTGATGATATGCCACATGCATGCTCATTTATCTTCTGTCAGGCATCGGCTACAATGGATTCCCACGTGGTTGTTCAGATGACAAGCTTCCCTGGTCGAAGGTTGTGATGTTACTAATTTTAAAACTGGTGATATTATAATCCAATATTGATTAACTGATACTTACCCCATTCACTAATTTCTCAGAAATCCAAGAATGGGGACCCTTTGGAGACAAAGTATCCGTAAGTGATATGTTTTCTGAAGTACTATTCTTTATTTACAGCTAAATTGTCTAGATAATGTTTCAGCAGGCACTGATACTTTTTTATTATTTTAATCTACTGTTTCTTCTAGAGTTTTTTAAAAGCTTTGGTCGATCCCTGTATTCCCACACTTCGAATTTAGATGATTGACCTGAATTTTGGCTATTCTATTTCATTGTCCCTTGCAGTTATGTTTGCCATGCTGAAGTTAATGCTATCCTGAACACAAATCATGCATCTGCAGCAGGGCAGGTTAGCTCCAGTATTATTTTGTATCTCATTCACTGTTTTCTTGCTCTTCTGTTATACCAGAATTGCCGTGTTTTAACAAAAGGTAGGACTGATTATGAGAGTTCAGGACATGCTACGCAATGCAATTATTTTACTAATTTTTATGTTATGCACTATAATTTTGCAGAGACTTTATGTGACAATGTTTCNTTCTTTGATTCTCCATTCTCTCTCTCAAAGCTTGTATCTCCATTCTCCATACCTTTGAATCAATAAAATACCCGGCAACTGAAGCCATTGAAGAGTGGACGTAGGTCGAATTGACCGAACCACTATAAATTGTGTCTTCTTTAATTTTCTCATTGATTTCATTGCATTTATTATCTATACTTGACAGGTGGTGTGCAAAACTATTTTTGTGCATCATCACCACCAATTGAAAAGACATTCGTATAAAGAAAATAAATAAGCAGAAGCAAAACCTATAGAAAGCAACATACTCCATTTAGTTTCCACTTCCTGTGCACTCATTACTCATTTCGAGCTAACGGCATGTCGATGCATTACCCAAATTAGGAATAACTTAGTGGCATGTGGCTCTTAGCATTCCCGGTATGATATATATTTCTTCAGCATTGAAGTTGTTTTCAGTGTTGATTCTCACATATTAAGCCTTCTCCATTTCATTTTCTATTGCTCTATCAAAATTCTAAATATTTAAATTGTTATTCCTTTTGCATTGCAGTCAGGTGTTTCTGAAGTTATCTATTTTGTAGAGAAGAGATTGGGCAATTCAGAAGCTGCCTATGCCGCTTCTCACAAACTTCTATCAATGGCAGGTGTAAAAGTAAGCCTTACTTATGGCTAAACCATTTTTCATGAAGCCCTTTTCTTCCCATGGGTCATAAGTTGGGGTTATCAGGAGGGGTTTATATCTGTGTATATGGTCTAGCTAAAAATGACTACCCATCTTAACATATGCAAAATATTCGCTTTTAATCAATCCTGTATGCACCTTTTAGTCCACAATGACACCCTTTTTTTGTGGTGCTTTAAATAAGTGCAATGGCTTGCAGATGTATTTGGGAGGGATTTTGATTTTTCAATTTAGGTTTAAACTCGATTTCATTATTTTCATTTTCAGGTTAGGAAACATCAGCCACAGATGAGTCAGATTCTAATCAAGTTCGAGGGGCCCTAGAAGTTCCATCATGATATGAATTTTTCAGTCTGTTGTAAGGTAATATTTTTATATAATCTACAAACTCAACCACCTTGGTATAAAGTCGTGTTTCCCATCTTCCCCTAATATCTCACATTGGGTAAATCCTTAACCCTTTCCCATTCTTACTAAGACTGCGGGATGATCTTGTGAATTATGGCCATCTATCTATCTATCAAATCATAGTGTTGTTTGTTAACAGGTATTTATCTTGAAAGAATTAAATTTGGCTTGTTTAAGTTCAGCAGTCTTTGATTTGAGGGACAGAACAGATTGGATGTCTACTTGGCTGCAGTTGGCAGAATTCGTAGTTAAGCGCCTTAACTTATAGTCAACTGATGCTGCTGCTACCATAATCAGTGTGTATGCAGATGTGTTAAGCACTTCCGCATGCTAGGACGGTCACCTCACCATACGCTTGTTTGGCCTGTGAATGGAGGGATGTGTCGTTTGCATAGTTGCCACTCACTAGCAACTAATACGTGATCGCATTATTTTGATTTAGTGACTTGTGCATTATTAGTGTGAAACATTCAACATAATATCTTGGTACTAGATTGTGAGAATTCTTAGAAGTACGTTGATGAAATCTATTGAAAACAGAGTCAACAATACTGATCCATGAGCTATAACAGTTTTCAGGTGGGTTTCATGCCTTGAAATATCTTTGAACTATGATACGTTGCATTCATTCATTTCCTATAGATGAGAAGTTTCACGATAAGTCGTATTCAATTAAGACATGATCTAAATAGGGCAAGTTAGGGTGATTAAACATGATTAAAACTATCGAAAAGAAGGGAAGGATGACCAATGAACTCTTACTAAACCTTGGTGATAGCTATGTCCAATTTGTATCAAAAAGGCTGCATAATTGATATGAAGCTAGTTAGATGTACGTCTAATTTGCTAGTTAGATTAACTGTTTTGGCTATATATACGATTTAGTAATGTTATGTTTTTTAAGTTTTTTACCAACTTTTTTTTCTAAAGTGGTATGACATAATCTCCATCATTGAATATAAATAGGGATTTATCTAATGCTAAAAATTATACCACATTGCTTGGTAAGAAATCTTAGTTAGCACAACATTCTTGTATAAGATCTTCCATAGTATCTCTCAATTCTAGAGTGAAGGGTTCCTACACAATGATGCAAAGGCAATTTAAAGAGCCGACTATATGGATGCATTCAAAAAGTAATTCGCATCATAATACTTAAGAAATCACAACAAATCCTTGGGTGTACAGTGAAAACGGGTTAGAAGATTTGAAAAAGGAGGCAAAAAAAGTAAAGAGTTACTATTTAAGGTAACATGTAGTTGTATGATGTTTCTATTAGAACACATGAAAGTCTACCAAAATCAGGTTGCAATTGTTTCTCGCTTGAGATATTACCGGTTAAGTGTTAGAGAGATGGATTTGATTTGGAAATCAAATAGGGTATGATCGTCAATAGAATTAGTCAGCATTAAGTGCATCGAGCTGCCTTCTAAGATTTTCTAGGTCATCCATAAGGTTTGTGCTCTGTTGCGGAGCAGGCAATTTTTGGAACTCGTCTGCACTTGGGAGTTCATGAACAAGACCTTCTGGAAGTGCATCTGAAATAAACGACAAATTAGGTAAAAACTGACAAACATATAAAAGATGAATAGTCCATTTCATAGACAAGTGTATGGAGGAAATGAAAATCAAAACACAAAATCTTGCAATTATTGTGAAATTCAAATTATTGCAACCATTGACCAGGGGTGAGAAAACAATTCACCATGCTATGGAACGAGCCTTGACTACAAAGCAAGTTCAGTTAGTGCTTTAATAGTCAGCTAGTGTAGCTGGTAGCACCATTAGCCTAAATGCATTGTATCCTTCACGGCCACCAATGGCTCTAATTCCTTTGCTTGTGGAACTATGACACCCACTCCGTAAACTACAATCGTGGCCTCCAAGGTCTCATCACAAGCTTTGGCATAGACCATGTCTCCGGCCTTTGGCCACATATTCAAAAAAAGGGTAACTAGTGTCCCTAATCAGATGACTTGAAACACGTCTCTATAAGAAGCATTATTAGATTGACTTGATAGTTTTCAGATAAATAAAAAAGATGAAGACATAACTGTAATCACGTGACTTTCTCTATGATTTCGAAACACTGTCATCCATGCAATTGTATGCCTTGCCAATCTTATCATTTTTGACACTCATCGGGGATAGCTCACGACTGTGAATTCTGAATTTCTTTGCGAACTCAAGATCGCCTCTATCGGAGAGCAAAAATTTTGGTTTTGATCACACCTAAGCGATTGATGACATCCTTATAACCGTTCGCAACCAGGGTGTCTCCAATGACAATATCATCACCAAAGAGGGTGTATTTACTAAACTTCGTCCCGGTATACCTTGTCAGTCCAATAGCACACCATAAAGTGATGTGGTAGAGTGAACAAAGGCCAAGACAAGAGGTACCCTAGAGGCTGTGTCGTGTTTGGAACATCCACTTTGAGGAGAACAAAAAAGACTACAAAAAGTGGATTTTAAATAGTTTAGTGTTCCGGGGGGGGGGTTCCATGTGAAAACAAGGCTTCATCCGAGTAAAGATGGAGGATGCAAGTAAAGACCATATTGTTATCTTTGACATCATAATCCATATTGCCTCTGCATACAAGAAGCCCATACTATAAAGGCACAAGAGATGGTGGGTAAAAGAGAAAAGAGAACTGATTGGGAACATACGACCGTGGCAAAGAATACGTCACAGATTCTAACAAAAAGAATTTTTTTCGACTAAATGACCAATTCAATGACAAATACCCTGAATATAAAAATAATTGACAGCATAATCTGAGAAGGATCACCTGAACTTCTGAAATCTGTCCTATCCAGTTCACAATCTTCCACAACGCTGAAAGCACCACAAAAAACATAGTAAGCTCCCAGGAAAGAATATTTACTGAATGATAAGGCAAGCAACCAGGCAACTGCATAACATCGAGGTGGACAAAATTCGTCCTCCATGAATATCTAGCCAGAGGGTTTTTCCTCTGCAAATGGGCCTTTCAGTTTATTCAAATGTAGAACGTAGCTGACCAAAAATATCTGCCACAAGGTTGAAACCACAAAATCCTCAGGAGTCATTACCCATCCCTCAGGAAGTTTACCTTATGCTCCACTCATTTTCTGCATGAACGGGGGATTCTGTTTCTAATAGAGCTTCGGCTTCCATCTTTGCTTTAGCAGCAGCATCCCTGGCAGGCTTTACAAGAATGTATTCTTTCTGGCAGATTGAAAAATTTTGGTTCCAAGGTCATAGAGAAACCAAATAACCGAAATCGATTAATTTCACAAAGAAAAGTAGATAAACAAGGCTTCTTCAAAGTCATTATACCTGACATTCCAGGCAAGCTGCATTTGAACATTGAGGGTTTGGCTTCATTTCCATTGTTGGGAAGTAGTCTTTGAGAGCATTGTAACCCTGAAATCAAGCAGAAAGTCAGGATGCACATTGTGACTGATTATTCACAAAAGTAAATCTCAACCGAGCAGCTAAATTTTATTAATCCTTCCAACGGCTCAGACAAACTCAACTCAGTATTTTGCAAGCAAGTAGCTCACAACAGAGTAGAATTAGAGACATAATTTTCAAGCAACCGTATTCCACATTGTGTGTGTATGAGAGAGAGAGAGAGAGTTGGTGCAAGACTTACCAAGTATGGAGAAACATGTCCAAACTTAAGCAAGTATTTGAGTGTGTTTTGAACGAGAAGCCCAGCAACAACCCCCTACCAAATAAATTCATATGCTCATGTGTATCAGCAGCAAGGCAAAAGGGTTTAGTATCCAGAGACAACACAAAAGTTACATCTTATTGATAAGATAGAACCCTTGTACGCCAAATGAATTATGAAAAAGCCAAAAACATGCTTGAGTTGCACAGGAACAAGGAACAAGGTATCCATGACAGAAACAACACAGTGAAGATATCAAAGTTCCTTAAGACAGGATCCACTGGACCATCAATTGAGAAACCCAAATCCTGGTCATGTGAAAGATAAAACCCACAACAAGAACAAAGAGGAACAGACAAGCCATAGAGATTAAGAAAGGGAAAGATACATCCTTACCATGGTAGTAGGTAAAGATGCAGCACAAACCCCTTCACGCTTAAGCGTACGTTCATCAACTCCAGATGCTACAACCTACGGCAAAAGAGAATCCTTTCTTAATGCTCATATCCAACTCATCTTTACAATGTAAAATGGTGCAAATAACTCCAATAAGGAGACAAAATGATAGTCTATGAACAGTTCTCAAAACCACACAAAAAGTGACGGTCAAACAATTTGAGAAAATCTTTGATTAATATCAAATTTGGCATTTAATGTCTTAGTATAACTTGCATATGCTAATGCAAGCATAGCACTACCCCAATAAGATCCAGGCTAGCCTGATCAAGTTCCACACAACTACTCATGCAAAACAAATTAAACAAACTATTTCAGAAATAAGCAAACAATTTTTATATTAAATCCCTTTCCCCTCCAATTTCAACTGAATTGGGATAAAGAAATGACCCTACCAAGGGAGGCGCACATGCAAAACAAGCAGTTTCTCCAGGAATCAGCAATTGTATATGACCTGAAACAGCATTTTCTGATACACCTGCCAAAAGAATGAAAAAGGTGAATAACAATCCATTAATTGTCTTGATGACATGGCACAAGTACACATCAAATAGGACATCTATATCTCTTTCCTAATTTTCCTGTCCCTATTCTGATCTGTGAGCCATCTTGCAGAAGCTTGCATTATAGCTTATCAAATGTTTAAAATAAGTACATACAACCAATAATTTGTAAACAGTTTGGAAATTTTTCTTGATTTTATGTTGCCTTAACAAATCCTAACCGACCAATAATCAGATTATGTTATCACTTACCAGTATTTACAAAAGAAAATAACAAATTTTCATCTCATATAAGAAAAATATCAATAACAGAGTACATACTGATTCTATACATAAATTTAACTTTACATATAAAGCTTAATTACATGT